CCGATCCAATCTGGGTAATCATTAAATAAAAATAGATTTAACAGATTATTAATACCTCGAAAAATAGCATTTTTCTATACAAACTCTGTACATAAGTGAAGGATATATTTACAGGAATTTAAATAAAATATTATTATATAATTTAAATAAGTTGGAAAGTAAAGTGAAGGAAATCTTTACCAAAAATATTTTTTATTTAGTTCAAAAATCAATTTACAAGAACTTAAATAAAATATTAAATAGTGTCTGAAAACATTGAAGAAATAATTAATATTTAAATAGGTTAGAAAATAAAATGGAATAAATTTTCCAAAAATATAATTAAATCATAAGTTTAAGGCATACACTAAAAAATCAATATTGAATTTTAGGAAAAATTCATAAACATGGCCTTAAAATTAACCTCTTAAGTATTTTAAGGGAAAACTACTTCAAAAATTGTATAAGGCCATATGGCGCACCTTCAAGGCCATGTTTAGTCCATTATTCCTTAAATTAAGGAATTTTTCGTAAAATCAAGGAATTTTTTTCTCAGTGAAGGCTCCCATTTCATTAACATTTTTCTATCCAGTTAAAAATGTATTAGACACTTTTAAATCTTCAAAAATAAACCACAAGCTGCATATCTTTCGGACAACTTTAAATAAATTGTAATATGTTGTACAAATATTTTATATTTTCTGTACATTTGGGTGAATTTTGCAAATGTTTATTTATTTAAAGAATGGATGCAATGTAAAAGTGTTTTTCTTTGTAACTTCTCTACCGGAAAATACAATTACCAAATTAAAAACATGTCCGACCAAAATTGTCACTTTTTAATCTGCCAAAATGATCCACAAACTGCTGAATACCTGTAATCTCTCGAAAAGCCTTCTTTCATCCGCATCAGCGGAAAACTTGCTCCACCCTTTATCGTCAGAAGTGTTCATAAAAACCTTGAAGAGCTCCTTTGAGTGGAGTTGCGTGCATGGATGGATGAGTGGGTGGGCCAGGATGACTAAGATCTAAGATGGGGTGGTTGGGGGATTGGGGGGTTTGAGGGCGCCTCAAGTGCTTAGACAATCGTGTTGAAGCTTTGATTTTCGAGCTTATGCTGGATTTGGAGGCACACGATTTCCCAGCTTCTTTCTCCTCCACATCTGCAGTATGCTTATGAGGGCGGGTAATTAAGTTGGAGTGCCCAGAGAAATACATATATATATATATATATAGTATATATGTACCCCTTACGAATCCAGAGACCATTTGCCTAAGTAATGCCTGAGTCGATGACAGACAGCCGAAGGGACGGACAAACCCACTGGCTGTCTGACTGACTGACTGACTGACTGACTGGTAAAAGTGTTGAAATGTCTGCGGCAGCACTTAATTAATTAATGTCGAGCCAAGCGAACGGGCGAGCCAAATGAGAAAAGTTTCTGTGCTCGGGGATCGGGGTTTGGGGATGGGTTCCTAGGGGCTCCAAGGGTTCCAAGAGTACCGAGAGTCCCAGGAAACTTGGCAGCTATTTGTTAAGTTGCAGCCGTTCAATATTTGTCACTGAACTCATTAAGCAAATTAATAGACAAAGTTGCCGATTGCCGACAATGGAGTTTGCCCTCTGCACGTTCGGGTATTGCCATTTGCCATTTACCATTTACCATTTTATTTACCGAACCGGAGCTGAGAAGCCACGTTGGAGTAGGGTCGTCGTCGAAGTCGATGTCGATGTCGACTTGGACTTGGACTTGCGGTGGCAATAAAATGGCACGCAATAAAAAACCCAAAGTCAACAAACAATTCCACGGAAGCTGCCAAGGCAGTTCAATTCGCAGTCTCGAACGCAGAAATCGATTATGGACGCCTCGAGGAGCAGTTCTCGGCGAATCGACGACCCAGTCTTGGCCACGTTTTCGATTTTGCCATTCGGCATTCGCCACCTGATGCCCCCTTTGGTTTGGTATTTGCCCACCCAGCATCCACTTCCCACTGCCGCCCACTGCCCACTCACTCCTCTGCATCCCATTTATCACCGTTCCTCTGCGAAATTGCCAACGTTGCAGCTCAAAAGCGGAAGTGATTTCCCAGCGTGTACGTGTCTGCTCTCTCCCTTTCGCCCCGTGAGTGTGTGCGTGACCAGATGTGGGTGTTAGTTTGCGAAAAACAGTTACTTCGAAATAGAGCTATCTAGATATAAATTACGAAAATAAATAAAGTAATTATTTTATTAAAACTTAACATGTTTGGCTATTAATACTTCGTATTAATTGACTGATTTAGATTTCAAAATTTTTACTGTTAAAATCTATAAAAAGGAAGGAATAATAAATGGCGACATTAAAGCTTTAAGCATAAAATCGAATTAAATACTTTTTAATGATATAACAATTAGCTCTGTCAAGCTTTTAAAATCAATATATGTTGTACAAATATTTTGAAAGATTGAAAATAAATGTCTTACTCCCAATCACAGTGAATACTTGGCCACCAGTGATTTTTGGGTAACTACCATCACGAGTGAGTTGCTGCTGCAAAAACCCCACAGCCAATATGTGTGCTTGGCTGGGAAAAGGGGCGTGGCAGTAGGGCAGAGGACGCGGATGGCAGTGAAGGATTTTATGACCCTTGATAGTGGCAAGCGATTTGTTGCGTGCATCGATGGCTGCCGTTGCATTTTCAATTTCGCAGCGCGCGCGCTTTTGCCGTCTTTGAATAATGCAATGGCAATCGGGGTCGAAAATGGCGTGGAGCCAATGCAACCCATCAGTATCTCTACCTGTCGTCGCTAAGCTTATTTTGGCAGCTTATTAGGAGGTCGTTCCGTAAAATTTCGGCTTGCTTTTATAATTTCCAAACACGAGCGGGAATTGCCAAGCGGGCAAGTTGACAAATATGCAGGACGTGCTCTGGTTTCACCAGAAGGACAGTTTTTTGGATGCGGATTGATGTGTCATCTAGAAAGTCAGACAGCAGCATGATTTTCCCATGGAAAATATGATTTTCGATATACAATTAACCGCTGTAGCGTGAAAAATATGCTGTTAATTAGACAAAACAGCGGAAAATAAAGTACCGATTTTAGGAAATTATGAATTATTGGTAAAAATTTGAATTGAAAGCTATGAAAATCTATCTGAAATAGTCGAAACACAATCAGAAATCATTATTATCTTTGTAATTCATTTTCAAACAGTTTTCACCCATTTATAAGTTAAATACATGCTCATGACCATCAGGTATTTACCGGTAGCACTTTCACACAGCCATAGCCTTGCGAAAACCGTTCAATACTCATTAATGTTAAGGGGGGATTCCATTTCCAGCTTAATGTGCCGTGGCCGGGCTTTTCACTTCCATTCAAACACTCGATCGCATCGACCATTCTCATTGTTTTCGGTCAGCCAGAGTTGAGCGTAAATAAAAGGAAAATGGATGCATTTTTAAGTGCCCCTGCGTTGCATTAATTTTAAACAATTTACCTGGCAGAACAGAGACCGAGTTTCGACTGGAGGCATATGCGAATTTATATTTTAAAGTCAAAGTGGTGAACAAAGACGAGGCGAAAACTCGGAAAAACTGGTAAAAACTGGGGAACCCCTGGGGCGAGTTTCCTTGTGGCTGCAGCTGCAGCCACTTCAATTTCAAAAGCATCAGCTCCTGGTTCCCGGTTATATTCCATGGGTCCTGAGGCGGCCATTGGCCGCTGGCCTTTACCCCTTCTCCACCTCATTTCACCCACTTTGGCTTGGGATTTTTTATCCGCCCCTTTCAATTTTGTTGAAGTTTTCTTTGGAATTTGCCAGCGTGATTTTCCCTTGGCTTTGCAGTAGCCTTTAAGCCAAGTTCAATGTTTGATTAGCTTCTCCATCTCCATCTCGCTCTCGCTCTCTCTATGTTTCTTTCTGTCCTGTTTGCTGGCCGCTTATTAAGCATACGCCTCGTTGTGCGCAAATATTTGAAACGTCTGGCATTTAGCGACTGCGAAATGTATTAATTATAAAAGAGCCGCGTGCATTGACCGCAAAGACCGCATATAAAATCGGTAAATGAAACTGATGCCAAGCAGAGGACTGGCACTTGGGCAATGATAAACTAACTGACGAATTTCATTTATGGCTACTGTTGGCCAAATGCGGTTGCAGTGCCTCTGGCAAAAATGTCAGTTCGATATGGAAATATTAAAATAAAAACGATAAAGCGAAAGCAATAAAATATACAGGAGAGATTGTTAAAAAACAACAAGTGCATAAGATACAAGTGAATTACTGAAATCAGAAAATGTACTCTTAACAATTAAAGGTCGCCTGTTGCCAGGTTTTCCTGTGGTGAAAAATATGCCGCTATAAAAGTGTCAAAAGCAATTTCATGTTAATTTTATGCCAATTTAATTTGACCAAATTAAGCGTGAGTGTGTTTAACAATAATTGCCCACTTAATGATAAACACTCGCACTGGACTTGATTAAGGTGCAGTGCGATGCAAAACGAATAGGGTTTCAAATCCTGGCTAAACAATCTGCACGATTTTAATTACGATTTTCAATTAAAGTGCGACACAGAAAACCAATTTGCAATTGGCTTCGATGGCCTGAAAGGCTCACACGGAGAAAAAATGTAGTTTAAAATCGAGAGAGTTTTCTTTGAAATGGACAACATTGTGACAAAAAATCTCACTTCAAATTTGATTTTGAAATTATATCAAACATAAACTTTTTGATGCATATACATTTTGTTTAACTGGGGATCAGTTGTTTTTAATTTAAACACGCTTAGGACTATAAATAAACATTTTTATCTTAAATCCCTATCTCAGAAAGAAAATAAATTAATAAATATTAAGAACTGGCAGGATTGGTTAAAATATTTTGCTGGCTCTATTAAGAATAAAACTGCAAAGACTATTTTATTTTATTTATTATTATTTATAATAAATTAATCGAATAGTTGCTGTTTAAAATTGGAACCTGTTTTTCGGCCAGTGCACTCACCTCCCGTTTCATCTTTTGTGCCACATTTCAGATATTGCTGTACCCCGAGGAGGGTTGGGCGAGGACGGCATCGTCCAGTTACTGGACCATCACGCCCTGCTTTTGGCAGCCCAATCGCTGTCGCATCGTGGAGTGCTCCGGAACCCAGCGGCGCGCGACAAAAGCACGGATGCTGCCGCTGGAGCAGCAGGGCTCCCTCCTGATTGCCGGACACTTTCGCCGGACAACGGCCACGGACGGGGGGGCCTCATCGCCGGCGGGGGGCGGGGCTCCGGGCTCCAGATCGGTGGCTGCCACGCCCACACCTGCAACACCTGCCACTGCAAATGCGGGGGCAGCCGCAATCCGGACGGGGGCAATGGGCTGTGACAAGTCACAGCCCGCGTGGAACGACGAGTTCAAGCTGTATCTGACGTCCAACATCTCGATGGAGGACTACAACATGGGCTACTGCCTCACCGGATTCGTGGAGCGCCGTTGCCAGGTGACAAACACCTTCCAGATGACTCACTTTGCGGTCATCAAGCGCCAGTGGCCACCGTCGCCGTCCAATTTGGGCAACTCCTAAGGCCCCTGAGACACACCCACTTTTGTAATTGTGATCCGATCTTTTGTTTCGAATTGGAAGCAAAATGAAATTATATAAAAACGACTCTAGCTGTTTTCATTTTCAGAGAGTTTGAGGAAATTTAACTGGCGAAATATTTGCTTATTTACAGCAAGCCAATTATATTAAATTGCTTTTCCAGAAAAAATTACATTCGTTTATTTAAATTTTAAATTAAATTTTAAAACTTCAGAAATCATTTGAAATTTGATTTTTTGAGTACTTAGATAACTAAGGTTTCTAAAGCGATTTTATTACTTTACTACTTTTCTATTCTTTTTATAAAACAATACAATTGTATCAAAAATTTTGAAAGTGAAAATAGCTTCATGTCTTATAGATACCATTTAAGTTGTTAGCATTTAAGTAAAGCCAAATCTTTGTTGTGCAATCTTGAACTAAAATCAAAAGAAACTTTGGAAAAATCTATAGACAATGTAAAAATAAATTTCGGAGGCCTCAGAAACCGATAGCCACTAGATCATAATGCTTAGAAAACTAATGACACAAAGAATCTTTAAGGGCGTACAGTATTTGCTCTAATTGAACGAAATTTTCTGCATGTTTAGTGCGTAAATTGTAATTTTAACTAAATGTGCAAGAGAAAACCGAAAAAAATACGAAAACTAGAAAACCAAAACAAAAACAAAAACTTTACGTGTGCTTTCAATGTTGTGTATTATGAAAAACGGAAACAAACCGAAAAAAAACCAAATACTAGTAACTGCTAAATGCTAATTGAAACTAAACCGCTTTGCCAGCTCAAACACAAACACACATAGGCACCCACTCACACACTCGCACACTTAAGCTTGGGCAGCTACTTAATGCTTCAAAAAAGTGCAACAAATTGAAACTTGTGCTTGTCGAAGCATGTGATTGTGAGTGCTCCACTATAAGCTGCTATAGTATATTTACGAGCCTGTGTGCGTATTCGAGTAATGGTGTGTGTGTGCGTGTGTATGTGTGAGTGTGCTGGTACTCTTTTCTACTACATACAAATATGTACTTTAACGGCCATGTTTGCGAAACCTATTGCCTTTAAGCTTTAAAATATAAGCTCAACTCAACGCAGGCAAACAAGTCAACAGCTTCGAGCGATGGCCATTGGCACTAAACAGCAGCTTAATAACAACTGAACATCAAACTCAATTATTTAACGAGCTGCTTAGGAAAAGCAAACATGACTTTCGCTTTAAACTTTAATGTTGTCATAATTATGGTTTTCTTTAAGCTGATTACTTGAATTTGAACAAAACAATATCATTTTCTGCAGGTTGCATGGTCACACTGCGCCTGAAGTGTTTTTCTTTGTGGTTTGGCCACACCGCACCGCAAATTGACCTTTCTGGTCTAGTTTTGTAATAAATTAAAAGTACTGCTGATTAGTGTCACCAGCCATTGAGCCTAGTCTATAAACGAAGTTTGTCAACTCTACGCTAATCTAAGAAACTAAGCCCCCAAATCTCTCTATCTCTCTCTAACTAACACACCCACTGACCCACTCATGCTACGGCTCTGTCCCTCTCATTCACTCACTTTGAGCATGATACGCAACGTATATCAACAATTCGTCCAATAATTGGAGACTTTCGGCGCCACAAATTGCCAAGTGTCAAGTTGGCAAGGCCAGAGCTCCAATTGCCAAAAACCCTAAGTGTTAAAAAACAAAGAAACCAAAACGTAAAGAAAACCAAAGCTAAGTCAAAACTCAATGTAGTGTCTAAGTGATAGTTTAAAAATCAATATTTACAAGCTAGAAAATAAATCTATATATAAATATATATATATATATATATCTATATATTTGTGTGTAGGCTAAACATTTTTTCGTATATATCGGTGTATTTATATAACTGTATTGCGATTACATATACAATAACATTTTTGCTGTAGTTCGCATAGCTCGCTTTTAGGCGCTTTTACACGCAAGCGAATAAGGCCGACAACCTCTCGAATCTCTTATTTGCTTCAGACAGATCTCCCTGCCACTTTACTCCTAAAACTAATTGATATTTAAGTATCAGGTACCTGCCAGAATCAACAACAAGAACAACAACAAAAACAACCAAATAAACAAGATAAATATATCATAAATATTTATTGAGCAATTATGTCTGTGCAAATATTTGTGTCCATTTTAATTAGAAGAAAAAAACTAAGAACACTAAAAAATGGGATTTATTTTTTAGAAAACACTGATAAATCGGAAAATCCTACCCACTTACACACACGCAAATCGATGTCGTCTCCCCAAAAATTGTATAAATGTTTGTTAGTGTCAGACTCTTGCTCTCTGTGTGTAGCAAATTTTTCTGCGCCTATGCTTAAAAAAAAACAAACAACAGACACGAATTCAGCTTCAAGCTGGATGTCCAACACTTAAAAACAAATCGAACAAAAACACGCATGAGCTTTTTTGTAGTTCTATTTAAACACTTTTAAATAGCAAAAACAAGTCAAAACGATAATCCCCTGCTGCGTGAGCATTGGGAATTAATTAATATTAAGCTTCTATCGAGTTAGGCGATGTAAGCGAGCATAATTAGTCTAAAACAGAGATAAGATTAATTGGTAGAAAAAACGGGAAGTTAAAATACAAATCAAATCAGATGGAAATGCAAATGCAAATGAAAATATAAATCGAAATCAAATACGTTGATGTTAATGCAACTGCATAAATCAAAAGAGAATAAAACGTCAGCAAATGCAATTTAAGCCGGCAGTGGAAATCAGTAATGAAAATAAATACCCCAGAGGTTGGTAGAATGCCATTGAAAATGAGAAATCAAAACATTGAAAATAAAGAAAGAAAGCAGATAATAGTTGTTTCCCTGGGAACGTAACCTAGCGTAAAAAGGGAATAATTTTGAGTAAGCTGATGTCGGATATTGTGGTAAGTGCTACAACTGAAAAGGGATCCATTATAATCCAGGTTTGATTATGCACAACATGATTTACCATTTGAAAATTAAGAGAAAAATTTGTGTTCTCTCCCAAAAAGACCATTATCTTTAAACTCGTTTTCATTATTAACTTGTGCGTTCAAATATATAAATAATGATATCAATATTATTTTATTTTAGAACAAAATTTTTTTTTCACAAATTTGGGGCCATAGATAAAAGTATATAAAAGAAGAAATGAAGATCCATTTTTGTTTTTTTTTTTTAGTAATTGGGAAAACATAAAAATATCTTGATTGGCATTAATTTCTGAAGTAAGTTTTTAAAGTATTTTTGCAAACAAAAGTGGTACAATCCCTCTTCTGGCCATTTTGGTCAAGTCTGGGTACCATCACCTACAAAATAAGCATTTTGCAACGAGAGATAGCTTAAAAATTGGCTTACATTTCTTACGTATGTTAAAATTTTCCCCTTTCGCACCTTTCTGCATATTCAATCATTTATCTCGGCACCCAGCAATCTTCATTTGGCCCCGTTGGCAATTTTACGGGGAATCAAAGCAAGATCTAAACCCTCAAGTGCGCCAAGCCATTAACTTTTATCATTGTGCGAGATTCACGCTTCAGTTTTGTTTCGTTTGCTCCGCCAAGGACGAAGGATGAAGGCTGAAGGACGAAGGACGAGTGGACACTTTAACTCACCTGGAAATGCAGCTGCACCCGCTGTGCCGGCGGCATAAATCGCGCCCTCAGTTTCAACTTTCAACAAAGATGTAAGCCAAGTTAATTGCTTTTTGTTGTTGCCCTTTTTTTCAACAGCACCAGCTCCAGTTCCAGCTCCATTCAGCTCACTTTGGCCACGCTGCCGTTTCGGTTGCCGTTGCCGCTGCCTGTGCAATGTCAACAATGAAACTAACGGCAGGAAGGAGGTCCTGTTCGCCCCAAAACATCCTACCTTTTTGGACCCCATGACCTGAAGCTGCTGTTGTTTTTGCTGCTCCGGTGCTTATTTGAACAGCTCTTCACAAACAAGAACTTGGCAACATGGAAGCATTTACGAGCGCATTTCGCGCAACCATTTTGTTGCCTTGGCAGACAAACGGCTCAGCACGAGGCACTCGGCGCTCGGCACTCGGCATTTGGCATTTGGCGGCTCCTGTCACAGGACATGGCCTAAACCTTGAGCACCAAAAGGGCTGCGAATCTGACTCCGACTCCGAATCCGAATCCGATGTGAGAGTCGTGGGAAGCCGAGACAGACCAGGAAATGGAAATGGTAAATTCTGGAGGATTTATATTTTCATTAAAATATTCTCAAGTGGTAAAGTGCTGCTAACACTCAAATTATTTGCACTGCCATTAGGGACAAGGATCAGCTAAAAATATAAGGAACTTTCTCGGATTTAATTAGATTCCAATTTTAATAATGATTATCAAAAAATATTTCTAAAAACTTATATTACTGGCTTAGAAATCAGCATCAAAATCATTTAAATATACATTTTTCTAGGGACAAAAGTTCAAAGGCACCATATTTAACAAAGAATATATACCATATATACTTTTTTTTGTTACATTTTTATACCCTTGCAGAGGGTATTATAATTTCAGTCAGAAGTTTGCAACGCAGTGAAGGAGACATCTCCGACCCTACGTATAGTATATATATTTGTTAAATTCTTGCAATAGCTGCAAGGGTATATGAACTTCGGCTTGCCGAAGTTTGCTTTCTTTCTTGTTTTTATTTTATTTTGTGTACTCAAGTAACAAATTTTTCTTTGTTAACTGAGCATAGCCTTAATCTAAAATTTCTTTATCAACAATTTAAATATACATTTAACGACGAGTAATTGTTTGTGATTTATAATGATATGTGATGTTTATTATTGAGAATGCTCATAATATTTAACTTAAGATAGATTACATATCCTTGCAGCATTTTCATGGGAATACAGTTCCTTTCAAATAATTTTTCCGAAGAAGCAAAAATAACTTCTTTAAGCTGGTTTTCCTTCACGAATTCATGGCCAGAGCCACAGGCCACTATTATTAATGATAAATAAGAGAGAGCCAGTCTAACAGGGACAAAGCAAAATTGGAAGATTTTCGCTTGGGTCCTCAATCAATTTACAATTCATGGTGTAAGCCCAGAAAAAGCCGTCGCTAGAAATCGAAATCAGTCGTCTGTGAATATTGCAAAATGAGCTTCCGCCCTTTGCCTTGGCAGCCAACTTCCGGCAACAATTTCCGTTTCCTCATTACCTTATTTTTTCATCGCCGAAGTCAGGACTTTTGCGAAAGCCTTCGATGGGGGGCGTATCCTTCTCCATGGCCTCCTGCCATATGACAATTTATTACGCTCGGAGCTTCGATTTAAATTGCTTGACAATTATTACACAATGACGAAGGACGACGACGAATGAAAAATGTTCCTGTTCGACAATTTACCAAGCGGCACGCCCACTCTTCCTTTACTTGGCCCCGCCCAGAATTAATGATGGCAAATTTGCAAAGTTCACAAATTTCTTATTAGTAGTCCATGGCTGTGGCAGTTGGCTTTTCCCGTTGCCCTCGCCATTTTCCTCACCATTTTCCTTACCATTTTCCGCCCTCATCAGCATTCGGCGGCCTGGGTTCATATTTCATTTTAGGCAGTTAGTTTTCCAGCGCATGAAAATGCGGATGAGGTAGTGAACGGTGTATGGAGCACCTCCCTGTGGTTTTAAGTTTTCGCACTTTTGCCACCAGGCAGAGCGAATTTCCCAAGCGCTCTAATTTGAATTTTAATTGAGGTTCTCTTTGTGGTTTCCCTTGTTTTTTTCCATCCCCTCGCTTTTTTTTGCAGTTTGTTTGGTTGGTTGCTTGCTTTGAAAATTAACAATAATTATAAATAATTGATATGCCGAGCAGGTTTTCTTTTGGAGAAGAAAATACGTGCCTGAGATTATTTTTTAACGAAACAAAAATGCAGGCAGTATGCATTATGATTATGATTTATTTCAAAGGGAAACTTTAAAATGTGCCCAAATATTCTTTATGACTTACTAAGTTGGATTTATTTGGTGCTTTATCCCTCAATTGAAGTCCCTTTGTAAATGTTTGACAGCGGCAATAAATGAAAAATAAATGTTTATACGTTGCAAAATCAAATCAAAGTGAAAATCTTGTATATTTCATATGTACGATTCACAAAAAATGTACACGTAAATCATAAAAAAACCATTCATCAGCAACAAATAAATAAAAAATCAAACTGAATATGCAAATGTCAAACAAATAAAAAAGGGGAGAAAAGGCACCATATATATATGGTCTGATTTATCCACCGGCTGGTGTGTGCGGAAACATTGCTGTAAATATAAATTTAATTGCATGAAACAAAATACGCAAAAAAGCGTATTCCGCCATTGAATTGGCAAAGTTTTCACTGCCGGCGAGATGCAATTATTCCGCAGGCGGCCATAGAAATTGTAAATTGAAATACGAACGCTTTATTGAATATTATTTTATTAAGCCCGCGCACCAAGGATAACACAACAAGTGGAGGCACTCATTTTAATAAATCGTGATGGAAAATGTTGAGCTGCTGTTAAATCAATTAAGTCGACAAAGCATAGATTAAAATGTTAATGAATTATAAATTAAATTAATAATTTATATTATGTATTTAACCATTGTGTATTTAAACATTAAGTAAATCATGTTTGTCGTCCCAAATAAGAAAAGAGTATTATTTTGCGAAGATTTAAAGACCAAATACCAGATACCAGGAATTTATTCTTTTATTTTAAAATTTACTTCTTGTATATACTTTTTTTTATTGGATTGATATAGTCAATGGTTAGCTACTTATTTGTTTATTTGCTTGCATCACTCTGTACTACAAAGAATCCTTAGTTATTAAAAATAAACTAAGTTTTTAATTTTTTTACAAGTGTTTCGTGTATAGCAATCCGAAAAAATTTAAGTAGAAAATTTAAAATATTTGAAGCCTTATCAATATACAACTAATCGATCAATGTTTGTGCCTGACATTAACCCTTTTAATACTCTGTGTTTATCTCATTGAATACGTTATCTCGCCTCAAATACGTCAGTTGCTTATGCGATCCATTTGGGTAAATGTGGAATTAATTAAAAATGCAGTCCTCATTAAATAATGAGAGGCATTTTCTCGAAGACCGAATGCCAGACAACAGACATAAAACATAAAACATAAAACTCGCCCTGCATCTCGCATTTCACCTGACCAGAACAGTCTGGCGATGAATGATGAAGACGACGTTGATGATGACATTATCTCATGCTCATTGAACGCAAATGTGGCGTGCACACCATAAAAGAGCCAACAAAAGCTGGGCGGACATAAATGTAAGAATAGTAACAAGAACTATGCATAACGAAGACAATATACGCTACTTAATAATTTAATAACTTTTAAAATTGATTAAAAATATTTTTTTACTTTTTACTCAATTTGTAAATGCTTCATTTGACTATTTTCTAAATTGATTTTAATATATGAGCATTTCTTTTAAATAATCCAATTTTTTGCTTAAATAAATTCGCTTTTTTCAGAAAAGAACTATTTTTATATTTTTGACATCAATTAAAATATTTTAAGATTAAATCATGCAATTTAATAAGCATTGTAGAATTCGGTACGTTTACAATTATTAAGCTTACAGTTTACATGAAAGAATATAGCGTAGAAAAAAATATAAATTTGTTTTCCTGATTTTTAAATCAATGTTGATTGAATAAATTCTTAGAAACTTAAAATAAGCATTTTGCATTAATTCCTTTAATCATTAATGCACATTTATATAAAAAATCAATAATTAAATAAAAGTTAAACGTAGAGTATGATAATGTGTGTGCTTAACAATAAAAAGCAAAATATGTACATGCAAACATATTTGACAAGTGAATGCCCCATTCATTCCCCCATTCCCCTCAGTCCTTCGTCTAGCTTACCTTGTGTCACTCATTGTTTTGAATTGTTTTGAAAGGCTTTTGTATTGCAGCAATGAAATGAAAGTGGAGCTCGAGATGTGGTTTCTTTATTTCTGGAAAATACAAAGTCAAAAATTCGGTTTTTTTTTTGCATGTCAAAATAGGTGAGTGATTGAGTGTCTCAAAATGAAGAGATGCAATACTGTTTTGCTTTGGCTATTCCTTAGTACACAGCCCTTTGTTGCTGGCATTTTGGATTTTGGGCCAGCGAATTAAGCTAAAGCGCTAAGGGGGCATTTAAATTAACTTTAATAGCGGGGCCCATTCAGAAGCCTCCCCGCCCAAAGCCCTTGGGGAAGTTCGCACAGCTCACGGGCCCCTCAAAAAGCCACACTTACGCCAAGTACTTAACAACTTTAATGAGCAGGGGATAGAAAGAAAGAAAGGAACTGGAGCTGCGAAAAAAAATCAACCTGCTACATTGGGGGAGGAGCCAAAGTAGCCAACGCGCACTTAATACTAATGGCTGTCATTATCCTTTATCCTTTGGCTGTCGCAACAACTGTCTGTGCCACTATCCCTCTCACTCACCCGTCTCACTCACCCGTCTCACTCTCGCCCATTTTGGCCCTTTCTTTGCACGCACATTTATTAGGCCAACCAAAGCGCAAACTTTCCGCTGCCAAAAAAACCAGAGAAAAAAAAAACAAAAAATGGAATAGCCAAGAAGTTGGTAAAAACAAAGAAAAAATTAACTTAACTCAATTTACAAAAAACTTTTATTTCTATTTTTTCTTGCTTGTTTTGTTAGCTGTTGACAAAAAACAACGCAAAAAAAAAAAGCAGAAAACAGAAAACGAATTAAGCGCCAAGCCAGGGCAAACTTTAAGTAGCTTTTGTGCGAGAAAGTATTAAAATCGCTTTTTCAAATGGCTCCCAACGAAGTGGGAAGGGAATCTGTGCACAAAAGTAAGTGGCCAAAGGGATTCCACAGCCAGCCAAGTGTCCTTGAATCATATTTACTTAACTCGATGCTGGCTTTTGGCATGTTTTCACCCTGCCATTCCTACCATTCCATTTTCATTTGCCAGCAATTTCCTATCTTATTTGACTTAAATGAATTTTCATAAGACTGGCACACAAATTCAGTTCTTAAAACGCTTAATATGTGATGAGATCCGTTTCGACAGGGCTCTAAAAGTTTTCCGGTTTTGGGTCAAGTTTCGATTCAATGAGGTAAGAGTTTTTATCAAGAAGCTGCAGATTGAAAAGTTTACAAGGCACCCATTGAATGTTTGAATTTTCGACACTCTATTATTGCCTGCACTATAATTGCTGGCCAGAGCAGACCACAGTTCTCCGATCCGTTCCATTATTCGGCGACATCGCATCTATGCTGTGTAATAATTTCACACGCTCTGTGTCGCGGTCGTTTTAATTAGCACGATTGCATTTTCAACACGTTCAAGCCATTCAAATTGTAAATCACATAGGCTGCCCAACATGTGCTGTCCACTGTCATTCAGTCATTCAGTCAGTCAGTCAGTCATTCACTCATTATACATGATATGCAGTGAAACGTTGGTACATATTTGATTTCGTCTCCGTATGCATTGTGCAGCAGATTGCGGTTTGGCGCTCTTCAGTTCACCGCTGTCATAGCAGCAATATACAGCCAAATCGGCGAAAAGCTGGGAGTAAATTAATCCAGCTAATTAGAACATAAGGGTCCGGGTTCAGGTCCATAGTGGGTAATTTGATCAAGTATTCAGACTGGCGATAAATAACAAAATTGTTTCTAGTATAGTTTTCATTTAAATTAGGTTTGCAAGTAATTAAATCAAGTAATAGGAACATCTTAATGATTTATAGCTCTAATTTCAAGAGATGAACCGACTTTATTTAGCATAATATCATAAGCCCTTAACGATTAACAACAAGATTATATACACTCACTATACACAGAGAAAAACCCCATATTAAAATGAAACATTGACATATTTTATTTACTTAACAAAAACTAATAACATGATAATGTAATTAAAAACATATTTTACATTTTAATATTTGTTCAATATAAGTTCAACTTTGTTTTGTTATGTATTTTTGATTAAATCAAAATCAGTTATAAAACTGAAAATAATATATCTAGTAAATACTAGTTAATATATATATGCTAATATAACATATTTGAAACCAATGCAAGTACTAAAACATTCTAGAGATAAGAGTTACTGCATATTTTAACGTTTCTAGGCCACCTATGTGGTTGTCATCAATTGTCAGTCAACAAAAGTTGAAAATGTGTTTATTTATAGCTTCCATTCAGAGTGCCTCCCCCCCCCCCCGGCGGGCCAAGCCCCATTCTCGGCCCACATTGCGTATACGCAAAAACAAAAACCGAAAGCGAATGCACCGATGGCCGCAGTATCCATTCGCACGTCACGTGGCAACAATCATGTCTTAAAGGCCGCACTCCTCTCCAAACGAACAGTATGTGTAGTGTCGGCTTCGTGTTGTGTGCACTCGTAGTGTTGATCGGTTCGATCGACTTGGTGGGGGGTCAAAGTTCGTCGTCGTCGCTGATCGATTCCGTTTGCCAGGCTGTCCAGCGACAGCAGCTTGAGTGCCAAGTGCATCGCGTGGAGACCGCCGATGGTTATAGATTAAGCGTCCACCGCATTCCCGCGCCGAGGAGTGCCCAGTGCAGCCAGCCGCAGCAGCAATTGCGGCCCTTTCTGCTCATGCACGGCCTGCTCGGATCCGCCGGGGATTTCGTGGCCGGCGGAAGGGGCAGGTCCTTGGCCTTGGAGCTGCACGCCCGCTGCTTCGACGTCTGGCTGGGAAATGCCCGGGGCACAACCCATTCCCGCGGGCATCGCAGCCTCGTGACAAGTGACGCCCGCTTCTGGCAGTTCAGTTGGCACGAGATTGGCATCTACGACCTGCCCGCCATCGTGGATTACGTGCTGGCGAGGACGCACCGCCGCCAGCTGCACTACGTCGGCCACTCGCAGGGGACCACGGTGCTCCTGGTGCTCCTCTCCCAACGGCCGGAGTACAATGCGCGGTTCGCCAATGCGGCTCTGATGGCGCCGGTGGCCTTTCTCAAGCACCTCAGCAGTCCGCCACTGCGCTTGCTGGCCAGCGACAGCTCTGCGGTCACGGTGCGTATACTTGATGCGATTGTCAAGTGCCCTGAGTGCTGAACAAGTGATAAGCTCTTGTCAATGGCAGAAAACACTTTACTTGAAAAGATTATCATTTGTTTCTTTTGCATTAACAACAAGCTTTTAATCCCTAACTACACGGCAAAGAAAAATAAAAAGTTTACAAATGAAAGCTTTTTTGGTGGTTGAGGTCCAATTAAATAAGCAGAGTAATTCCTAAAACTTGTATACAAGCAGAAAAAAAAGGCAAAGTAAAATTTAACATTAAAATGTTTGAATGTAACATTGTTTATCCAATTTTAAATATTTTTTCATTTTAAATTTTTGACAATTTAATTTTAATGTTAATATTGCGATAAACCAACTTAAACTAAACTCAAACATTTTAGTATTTGATTTGAATTAACTTAATAGCGATCGAATGAATATTATATATTCGATTTTAAAATAGTTTTTTTTTTTAATTGTGAATAACCTTGCCCAAAGATAAAGTAAAACTTGTATGACCATTGGAACCATTTGGAACTGATGGCATTTCCTCCGTGCAGCTGCTGCTCAATAAACTTGGCCTCCACGAACTGCTGCCGGCGACGGCGCTGACCCAGGTGGGCGGGCAGTTCTTCTGCACCGCCTCCACGCCCACCTACGCCCTGTGCACCCTCTTCACCTCCCTCTACGTGGGCTTCAGCGACTATCCATTGGATCGTGTGAGTACGATTATATATGCGGGCCATAATTTAGCCAACAAAGCGCCCCCGAAAACTTTTTTCTTCTTGTATGCAAAAGTTTTTATTGCACTCTGCGGAGTGAGCCCAGCGTTTTTACTCACCCCCCAACCTCCCAACCCCACAAAAACACACAGAAACAGACAAACACACGAGGTGGGTAACGGAGTGGAGGCCTTAGTTTCGGTAATAAAAGTTATTTGAATTTAAATGCGTAAACGAGCTGCTCCTGCCGGGCAAAGCTTCCTGGTTGAAATTCAGGCCAGAACTATTGTGAATGTGGGTAGAGTGGGGGGGGGGCGATTTGGATGGAGGCGAAATACCGGACAAAAAGGGTTAATTGGTGGCAGCATTCAACTTGATCATTTTCAGAAATAAATTAAGCTCGGAAACCCCTCTAAATCTATATTGAAAAAGGCCTGTGGGCATGGTAATTCAAATTAAAAGCTTCTTTTGCACTATTTTAGAACTTATTTTGTAAATTAAAAAAATAATAATATTCAAGAAAACTTTTCACAACTAAGTTTGAAATAGCAGCATTCATGAAAAAAAGCTGAGTTATAATTCTATAAAAACTTATTTTACAAAAGATAAAAATTGATAAAAATGCATTTATTCTAACCACATATACATTTTACTTCTGTAAAAATTTTACTATTTTTATTAGTTTATCGGATATATGGACAAATTCTTTCAAGATCTGAACTTACTCAAACTTAAATAAATTAGAATTTAACTTTTTTTATAATTTGTGTTGGTGAATATATAATTTAATTAAAACTTTGTAACTTATGAGTACTAATAGTTTCGTTCATAAAATTCAAAAAACCATATATTTAGGGCATTGCCCAAGCAGACTTTGACGAAGGCAAAATTCCTGCAGTAATGTGCAACCAAAAGGTGCTTTAAACTTTTCCCCCACCACCCACAAAATGCCGCTCCAGCTGGCGGCTAACTAGAGTATAACACACATTACGTATACGCCACGCTGCCTTAAACACTTTTTGTTTCCCGCTCACACGGTACATTTAAATTTTGTTTTGCCGTGAAATATGGCAAATAAATCGCGTCCGTGTAACGAAAGAAAAAAACTTTATGGCTTATCTGTGTGTTCGGAGTGTTTTGGGGCGCGTGCTCAAAAGGCTTAGCATCTGAAGTGAGTTAGTTTGGTTAGTTTTGGGGGCGGCAAATGTGGGGGTCAGGCCCTGGAGCCAAGTGCTGCTTGTAAGTTATTAAAGTGGGGGGCTTTGGCCAATTGGCAGCGGCCCTGGACACTGTGCTGCCCGAACTGTATTTGGACTTTTTATAGTTGCCGAGAGAGCACAGAAAAAAAGGGTTAAAAAGTTCTCGTGGATTTAGTACTTAAATCTTTTCACATATGCGGCCATAAATAAGCATTCCAAGCGCTGAATAATCCAAGGGTTAAGTGAGAGATGGACCGAGAAATGCATTGTTTTTAGTTAACTTTAAATCGGAATACGCAAACAAAAATAAATTTTGTTAATAGCGACAAACATTAAAAGGAGAAATTAAAAGTAAAAGCCTTTATTAAAAAACTATATAAAGTAACTCACAAAAAAAGAATCTATTGTAACTTTTAACTTCAAAATATATTACACTTTAATGCATCACTTTAACAGGCTTACTCAGATCCTGAACCAGCATTTTTTAAGAAAAGTTTATCCAATTTACAAATGACTTAGCTAGAAATAGTTGCAAAACAAATTTACAAACTATAGTTTCCAATTCAAATGCTTAACTCGCAATGCCAACGGATGCGAGTAAATAACAAATTCTCGGAGCTACTACCACTTGACACAAGAGTCGTATCTATACAAAGAGTCATAACTCCCATAAAAAGTCAACAAACCAGAACCAGCAGCGAAAAATTGTTAAACAAATACGGTGAAAAGACGCCGAGCTTGAGCAAATGGAGCGAGGCGATACTTGTGACAACTGCCGAACATGCCACACCACACAGATAGAAGTCCGAATAAATATTTGTGCATATTTAGTAACCCCTGTACACCCCCTGTAACCCCCGGTAACCCCCGAAACCTCACCCACGACCCTCGCAAAGTTCAACACTCTTGGAAAACTGCACTGCGTCGAATAAGATTCGAGCTATAATAAAAAATAAAAAAATAACACAAGATGTAAGAAAAATAAATGCAAAAGGAAACGAAACGAGAGGAAAAGAAAAACTCGGGGAAACACAAACAAGCTGGCGGCACAAAATTGCCAGTATTTGCCACAAGTTGCTGGCTGCTGGCTGCAAAAAGGAAACAAAGCTGAGAAAAAAATGGCGAAATGCAACGGCCGGGCGGAAAATCAAATAAACATCAAAACAAAAAAAATATGTCGCCGCAGGACGCATGCAACGTTTCAATGGCTTGTCATGGCAATTTAAAGTCGGGCGATTTACATAAAATTCTATAACCGAAGAGTCGTAGCGACATCCCCCAAAAAAATGACAAACATCAGCACATCGGCAAAAAGTGAACATTTTTTTTTTGAAGCAGATATTGTGTTTAAACAAGGATGCCAGGATTTAAATGGAATTTTAAAACTGAGCAATTAAACGGTTTAAGACCTTAAGTCCCATTTAATTTGAAATCAGCGAAAAAAGCATATATTTTAGGGAAATATATTGATTTCGGAAAAATAATTAATTCGTTCTTAATTTTTCTCCTTATTTAATATATAAATTTAAATTTTAAAATGCAGAATTAACTAACGTACGATTATAAATCAGCAAAAGAATATATTGATTTGTAATTAATTTTTATCCTTAATAAGCATAAATTTAAAAGGACAGAAATAACTAACGATTATAAATCAGCAAAAGAATAAATTGGTTCGGGAAAATAATTGATTGGTTATTATATTTAAAGTAATTAAGTAACGTACGAATATAAAAACCAATTTTATGAATATAAATAAAATATGAAGCAAAAAGAAAAGTAATTTAAAAATGTAAAAATAAATCTTGCATTAAAAGCAAACACAGTTGAGCTCATTTTCCACATAATATGAAAACATCAAAAGGCCCATGAATATATGTATGTGTTTGGAGGGGCAGAAGCTGCTTATCCTTACATTAATATTTCCTCTAGAAACTACTTTATTTTGTCTACTTCTTGCCTGCTTTCAAATCTGTTGGCAATTTCAATCAGTGGCCTACAGGGCAATAGCAGTATCAATATCAAAATCAATCTCAATCTCAATATAAAAGTGAAAAGCTCATTGCACTTACCTTAATCAGAGGTTGAGGCGAATAAGCAGCTAATTTCAAAACAAATACTCACAATATAAATTCAGCTTCCCCGCAGCCGCAGGATCAAAGCAAGGACCCCTTGGTCTTTTAACCCGAGACCTCGCTCCTGTGCCCGCTCATGTGTGAGTGGCCGTGTGTGTGAGTGTGTGTGAGTGTTTGTGTGTTTGTGTGCCTGTGTGCACTTCCGCAAATGCTTTGTGTCGCAATGAAACGGAAATAGCAGCCTGAACACACACAAACACACACTGATACACACATGAGTGGTCAGGCGAGAGTGAGAGAGAGAGAGAGAGAGAGAGAGAGAGGAAGAGAGGGGGGTCCTGTTTCCGGCCGCTGCTCATAAAATTTAAACGTTTCGGGAGTTTAAGCCTAACAAAATGGCCTTCCTCTGCTCCTTCCTGCAGAACATCTTGCCACGCATCCTGGAGACGACGCCGGCGGGCATTTCGCGGGGCCAGCTGCAGCATTTCGGCCAGCTCATCAATAGCGGTAAGTCGGCCCGGCCAGCAGACATATGCACAGATGCACTGCGAGAAATCAGAAAAGAATTAATTAATTTCATTAAGATTAAAGTTTAAACTTAAAAATGTCAATATACCACCATTACTTAAAATTTTCCTAAATGGGTATTTAAAATTTAAAAACATATTTCTCGATGAGTTTTTTCTGCCTACTTTGGGTCCTTTTTAAAGCGATGTCTAATCCCTAGTGTTTTCTGTGGCAGCCCCCAATATTATAGTTTCTTCCAGCAAATGGTATTTGGCTTTGACTAATTAGAAAAAATTACAAAGCTTCGAAAACTTTTTTAATTGATGCTGCACTGTTGTAGTAACATATAATAAAGCCCAATAAAAAGACATAAATATGGAAAATAACGAGAATAATATATAAATTAAAAAACAATTGGTTTAGCAAGAAAACAATCTTCGATTTATATATTCTGTTACAAATCGTTAAATCCAATACGAAATGTTATTGTTTTAAATATATAATTTAATTATTTTTTCACAATTTATTTAAAATTTTAAATGTTGAATACACCCTAAAAAAACGGAAAGTTTAGTTTTAATAATTGTGTCCTCAAAATAAACTACAGACTGTATTAAAGTATACATAAGTATTAAATGAATACTTAATAATGAGAAATTTTTCGAACCCAATAGTTTAACATTCCTGTAACAATAGTTTAGTTTTTATGACAATAATTTAATTTATTGACTATTTTCCCCTTATTTTTCTCAGTGCATCAGTAGAGAGTATGGAAGTGGAGTCACTGAGATTACCATTGATGTGTATTGTATGTTTCGTCCGCAGGCAAATTCCAGCAGTACGACTACCGCTCGCCGAGACTGAATGCGCTGCGATATGGCCAGACCACGCCCCCCTCGTACAAGTTGGCCAACGTTCGCCTGGAGCTGCAGATCTTCCACGGCAACCGGGACGCGCTGTCCAGTCGGGCGGATGTGCAGCGCCTGGTCAACGAGCTAAGGAACAGCAACACGCAGATGTACCAGGTGCCCGGATATAATCACATTGACTTTCTGTTCGCCCTCTCCGCACCGCAGCTGGTCTACGAACGAATTATTCAGCAGGCCTGGCAGTTGGACGCGCAATCGGTGGCACTTTCACAATGATGAAGTTGCATCAAACGTGCGGACTGACAACGCTTGCCCTTTATTGTAATATTCTTAGCTCGCTTTGATTTACATTTATATATTTTGTTATACGAAAAACAAACTCAAACGAACTACAAAGAAAAACTTGGATAAACAGACCTCATAAGCTTCATACTTTACACTAAGCAATTACGTTAATCAAAATGTACATTGGTTGTGAGTTAACTGGAATAGTTTGCCTGCCTTCTGACCATCTGACCATCTGACCAGCCGTCCTGCGATCCTTTTTCTCTGCCAGGTGGGTAACTTGAAGGGGAGTTTATTATTGGTTTCAAGGGGGCTGTGACTTTTGGATATGTTTTTGGGGGATGTCTTCGGACCGACAGATTAGCTGAGTTCAAAGCCAGCGCCGGACTGAATGGCATAGAGCAGCTTTTCACGCATTTGCTCCACATTGTTGAAGGGCGGAAGCTTCAGCAGATTGGTGCACGTGCTGGCCGTAGGCAGGCGTTCCATGTCCCCAGCGTTTTGTATAAAGAAGGGCGGGTCCAGGTCCTATTAAAGTAAATCAGTTTGAGTTAAGCACTTAACAGACTAAATTGACTGCTCGATACCAACCTTAAAGCCCAGCAATGGTGGCCTCGAGCAGCTGGTGACGAACTTGAGCAGCTGCCTGCGCTGCAGATCATCGAAGCCTTCCAGAGCCTCCCAAAACGCCACAATCGAGGGGTGTTCGGGAGTGAATTCACCGCCGTATTTACAGTGCTTCTTAAGATCCTCGAGGTCGATGGGTATCTCGGCACCCGAAATGAGTATTTGCAGCTCCTTGTTGCTGAACATGTAGAGCCATTCGATGGGCAGGACGTTCGAGAGTCCCTTGCGGAAGGCGTTGCAGTGACGACGTATCTGCACATTGAGCTTGTAGTCGGCTATCAGCTGGAGATACTCAATGCGATTCGAGTTGGTCACCGGAATGCTCTGGCCCTGCGGCTTCAGCTCGACAATCTGCGTCTGGCCCAGCGAACTGCTGGCCACGGTGAAGTCCAAGTTCAGTTCACTAACATCGCCCGTGTAGTCCTTCAAGTACAGCAGATTGCGGTACAGCTCCGGATCCAACGAGGCCAACTGATGGATGTCCACGTCCGAGTATTTGCCAGCCAGCTTGGTGAGGAAGAACTCGGCCAGTGGCAGCTCCACCAGCAGGTTCTCATAGATGGACTTGCCCAGGATGCGGCCAATGAAGTAGTAGTGCTTCTCATAGTCCTCGAAGAGATCGGCCACATTTGGATTGGGATAAAGCTTGTTGTCCGTGGTTACCCTGGTTATACGAAGGCAAAGATTAGTCTGGTATCTTCAAAACTATAACAACACTCACATAAAAAAGCCACGATTTGGATCAAAGGAAGTTTTGATCAGTTCCGAAAGGAATTCGCGGAAAACTCCACCACCATCGATGCCAGCCTCATCGAGTCCCAGCGAGGAAACAAACTGTATGCGGAACTTGAAGCGCAGGTCCGGTTCTAGAAGTTAAAATCAATTTAAATTACATAGTGAAATATGTTTGAATAAACAGAACCAACCATTTTCCGGACGCAGCTTGTCATAGGCATCCTCGTAGAGATGCGACCGCCTCACAGTGATCATGACGGAGGGGCCCTGGAGGAAGGCCTGCAGATTGCCCTGCACCCGCATCTTGTTGGCGGCCACCAAACCCTGCAGAATGCTCACCCGCTTGTTGAAAGCCACCACAAAGGGTATCTCGCGCAGAATGGTTATGGAGCGAATCTGCTTGGTGGACATGGGCGGACCGTTCTCGAAATCCTCGCGCGTAAAGTCGCGTATGGGCTGGAAGGGTCGAATGCCGCGCAGCCGACTGCTATGGGTCAGCGGTAGATCTGTGGGCCTGTCCAGCGGCAAATCCAACCGCGTGACGGTCCAGTGTGCCTCCGGGCAGAAGCCCAAGCGCAAGTCGCGTGTGTGAATCTGGTTGAGCACAAAGACGACCACATTGAGTAGGTTGGCCCAGATTTGCTTCTGGTGGCGCAACTTCTTGTCGTCGGCCTCCGTGTGACCCAGCACACTGCGGTAGTTGGCCAAATTGCTGCGAGTCTCGGGAAAGGCCAGCTCCACCAGGCCCATGCTGATGTCCTTCAGTGTCTTGGACATTTGTACGATTTCCGCTATGGAGAAGGGCATGAGCCGCACATGGTTAATGGTGGTCTGGACCTGCAGCAACAGATTGTTCTCCCCAAACTCCACATCATGAAGAGTGGGCAGTAGCCGTCCGAAAAGCATGCAAAAGGTGGCCAGCAATGGAATAGTGCGATCCACTCCTTGTTGCTTGGCTGCGGGTTAAAACTTGTCTTTGAAAAGGCAACATATAATATAGTTTATTGTGATACTCACGCACAACACCCTTGGAGATAAGGGTCAGTGGGGCAGAGAAGCCCATTTGGGTGGACTCTGCGGCCAACTTGAACCAGACAGCGCGTATGAACTTGGGCGTAAAAGCCAAAGTATACAGTAATCTAAAAGGGACACAGATTAGATAGCGGAAATGCCACTTATGCAATGGTGTATCTCACTTGTATTCGAAAACCGCATGCTTGTTGTAGATCATCAGGTTGTGGCAAATCTCGCAGAGCGCATAGATGAGCTGGGTGTTCTCGATGTGCGGATCCAGTTGCTGGACAATGAAGTCCACGCGCTCCGTTTCGTTCAGAATGGCAATGGACTCCAGCAGACAGTCGCGCTCCTTGACAGTCAGCTCGTTGCTGCTGGTTCGGCAAGTCTGTTCCATGTCGTAGTCCAATGTGCGGGCCGAGGGCAGCTCCTCCTCCTCCTCCGAGTCCTCGGACTCGTCGTCGCTGTCCCTGTGACGATGTGGGGCATTGGCATGGCCGCGCAGCGTGGACTTGGGCAGCTGCAGAATGTTGGGCATCATTTCGGCAATGAGACGCATATAGACCACCAGCAAAGAGTTGTGCTGCAGGGAGGCTGAAAGGGAAGGAGGATTAATTACTGCTTAGCACAGGGTTAGTACTTCTTTTGGAGGCTCACCCAACTGCCTGCGATCCAGCACCAGCAGGGAGTTCAGCAGAAACGAAGAGAACAGCGAGTCAAAGCGCTTCATTTTCTGGCCCGTTTCCGCGCCGTGGAACAGGAAACTGCGCCGACTGGACGTGCTATCCGACTCCGCCGCTGGCCCAACCGATTCCAGGACGCCGAAGAGCGAACACATGAGCAAGTCGAAGGGAAAGTCCGCGTTCAGGGCAAAGCAGGGCAGCAGAAAGTACCGCAGCGCATCCGTGTGCGGCGTGGCCAGAATGTCCCGGATGAAGTTGTGACAGACGGCCAGCGACATGGGCGACAACGGGCCGCCGGCAGAGGCCCTCTTGGCCACCGCCAGCGGACGCAGCAGCAGCTGGAGCAGCGCCTCGGCCAGCGGACTGGGGGCGTGCAAGGTCTCGCCGTCCAACGGCGGACACTTCTCGTCCAGCAGCCGTCGCAGGCGCAGAAAGTAGTTACGGGCAATCATGAAGCCAAACACACGCTCCAGATACCGGAACAGCAGGGCCTCGTCCTCCACATAGCGCTGCACGGAGGATACGGTGGTGAAGGTCTCCAGCATGCGCAGCGGAATGGCCTGCGCTGTGTGCGACTGGCTCAGCTGGAGCAGGCAAGTGTCCAGCAGCTTGCAGAGCCGCAGAAGCCACATGGAGTCGCGCGAGGAGTGCTGCAGCAGGCGGGCCGGCTGGCGCAGGATCTGCTGGCAGACCTCGATCTGTGGGTGGAGTTGGAGGGAATCAATGGGGGGGAGTGGCAATGAGTAGGTCATGGCAAGCTCACCAATCGCTCGCCATCCCTGGCCTCCCGACTGCTGTAGAAGAAGTTGAGGCGACGCAACAGGAAGGTCAGGCTCTCGTCCTCCGCCATGCGATCCTTGTGGGCCGCCATCAGGTAGCCATCGAAGGCCTCCCGCTCCGCCCGCTTGCGCCGCTGGCGATGGATGAAGGAGCGGGCGTAGGACTGCAGCACCACTGCCCCGTTCTCCTTCTGGCGCAACTCGTTGCGCTTCTGGCGCTCCTGGGCGGCCTTCCGGATCACGGTGTCCCGGTCGCAGGTGTGCGACGCCCCGCCCAGACTTTGCACCGGCCTGCGGCGGTACTCTCCGTCGAATCCGAACATGACGCAGCGTTTTTGGGGTACTTTTGGTGGCCCGGATGGGTCTGAATCCACCAGGCTTTTGCTACCACTCGCTTCAGTCAACCCTCCTCCACATTCTTCAACTGGCTGCGGACGCGGACGGAATACTGCGATTCCGCGGTGGCTGTGGTGCACTTGCTCCCCGATCAAAAATCTATAACTTTGCACGCTTTCCCTCCCGACACGTTCGAATTTAAAATGCGTAAAACCCTAATTTGCAAATGATTTGTATATTTCTCTTCTATATATTTCGATAGCAACTTATCGACAGCTGTGCCATCACTAGCTGGAATGACTGGCATCTCGCTCATCCCTAGTCGAAGGGGCATTCCCGATTTAAGTTTCGATAAATCTCCATTCGAAAATTCCAGAATTTCTTTTGTGGTGAAATCGACTGTTGTATTGTAAACAAAGCGTTACACAATTACACGTTATCCAAAACTAACATTTAATTTAAAGTAAAACTTGTATATATATCACCTATTTTATAATTTTACTTATTTAGGTAAATTTTAAGACCAACTGTTTTTAGTATTTGTGAAAGTCGGGTTTATGTGTTTTATATGCCAAAACTAATTTGAACAAGAAAGGAAATTCCTATAAAAATTAATCAATAATAATTACACGCTTATAAATCGAAATTTAAATGTTTTAAAGACCAATTTTGCCTACTGCAAAGAGTATATATGGCTTCCTTTCTTGTTGTATAATGACTTGTTGAACAATTTTTAAAAGAGCATGCTTCAGTTAATTTGTTGTAACTTTTTAATTCCGATAGGTCTTAGACAAAGCGTATTTGATGTAAAGAAAAATACTTTTTCAAATGAATCACATCAATAACTAGTCTCATTGCAAATCACAAGGTTGTCTTTAATACGATTTGAAAACATGAAATATACATTCATTCGTTAAGATGAGTGAAGTAGTTAGCCTAAACCACCTAATTAGTAGCTTCTGTTGTTTTTCAGTTAGCAACTTTCCCGCTAATGAGAGAGCAGGAGCCGCTACGAGTACATTTCAGACTGGCCATTCCCGGCCAGAATTAGAGCGAGCTCTGCTTGGCGGCCTGCAGGTTCAGCTGGTGCTGCTTCTCGATGAGGGCGAGCAGGGTCCTGGGCACATCCATGGTCTGGTCGTCGACGAGAACGATGTCGAATGTGTCCATATACTTGTCCATGTTGGCCTCCACGTGATCGAACAGGAAACCGATCTTCAAGATGTGCGACGAGGCTGGCACCCCGGAGGCCATGTCCGCATCCCCAATGGAGTCGCCCATGACGATGATGTGGTCCCTGGTGTGCACCAGGTCGTAGTAATCGTTGCCATCCAGCACGGTTTCGTTCTTGTTGAACGTGTGAATCATGGGCTGCTGAAAGCCATCCAGCAGTCCGTCCTTAAACTGCAGGAAGTTGGACACGACCTTCACGTTCGGATGCAACACGTTGGCCTGGCGCAGCACGGAGACCACCGAGTTGCCCAGTCCGGCGGAGAAGACCAGCGTGGGAATGCCCAGACGCTGCAGGTCGGCGAAGAACTCGTGGGTTCGGTCACGTAGCGCATGCTTATACTTGCTGGCTATCTGATCTATTTCGGACTGGTCGAAGGGGAAGCCGCTGGTCAGCTGCCCCGACTTGGTCCACCACTCGATCATGTACTGCACCTTCTCGGCGATGGGCATGTGCGGATCGATCTCGATGGGGCGGTACTTGTGGTACAGCTTGTCCGTCTCCTCCTTGAAGTTCTTCGGCAGCGATTGGCAGGCATTGAAGATGCCGAAACTGGAGGGCACTGCTCCGCCGTCCTCCGTGCGCTGCTTGGTGATGGTGTAGTCGAAGTCGGAGACCACCTGCATCCGCTCCGGACCGCCCATGATGAATTCGTTGATGATGCGCTCCACTTTGGCCTGATCCCGCATGCGGCAGTGGTCCTGCTTCAGCGCCGGAATGTCCTGAATGAACCATCGATTTGCGGCGCACTCTCGATTCTCGTCACAGCCCATCTTGAGTAGTCTTCTCGTCCAGCAGCTCAGTGGTCTTCCCCTGATCACGGTGGTGACTAAATATCTGCGGTCTGTCGTCTAGGGGAACTAGAATGGCTGAGCTTTTGCCAGCGATATCTGCAAATTGTTTAGGCAAGCGATTTAGTAGCACTTATATTTTGCCGATCGTCTGTATTAGTGGTTCTATATCTATGGCTGACCTTGGGCGAGTATTTTGCCAATTGTTGTTGCTCTGCGTGCTGCGTTCGCCGTTATCAGCTGACCATCGAAGCTCCGATATGACTAGCTTTTTATTTATATAAATTATGTCCAACAACAATAAGCAAATGCAACCGGCTGCGTAAACAATGGTTTTAGTTTTAAAACAAGTTTTCCTTTGATCCGTTTCACTTGGTCCACACTGGTGGTAAAAACAGCTGTTGGCGGTCGAAACGAATGGAATCGGACCTGGAAACAGCTGATAAAGGCGCCAATTTATCAAAACCCGAATTTCAAATTTTGTTGTTACTATTAATTGTTAACCAAAAGCTTGCAACTGTAAAATTTTACTTCCATTTAATTTCTCCATTTTTTAAACTCTATGACAAACACGACCATAAAGTTTTTTCTTAAAACACAGTTTTGTTGTTTATCTTTAAAGTATATTTAAAAAGGTTTTTTTTAGGCTAAGATACAAACTTCAGAAATTATGCTGTCTAACTATTGAACTTAAGCAGCAGAATATACAATAATTAAACAGCCTTCCCAACAAACAATCTTGAATTAATTATAATTCCTAGTATAATATCGAATATGATCTCTCTCTTATCTTAAATATTTAAGACATTTAAATTTATTAAATGTTTGCATTGACTTCGTTGCGGTCGCCGCTAATACGTTGATTTTAATTTAAAAAAAAAAATGGGTAACCATAATCAAACTCAATTAGAACATTAAATAATAATAGCCTAACAACTATCACTAGTTTACATATTTAATATGTATCCGAAAAAGCGGGAGTGTATATGTGAGCTGCCTTAAACAACTAAAATAAACGTAATATAAATGTGATGGGCGTATTCAAGGGATAACGCTTTAATCTTCGATTACGATGGCAGCCGGTGGCTGCTGATTTTTAGATGGCACATTTGAGGTGCTATTCGCCATGGACACCTGTTTGTTGGGCTCCAGCGGCAGGAACTTCCACTGCGCCGGCAGGAGTGCCTTGAGTTGAGGATTCTTCGCTACGTGACTGTAGAATAGGGAAACTTTAATTAGCAACTATGAAGTGTGGACAAGGGTTTCCGCCTGCACTCACCAATTGAGAAAGCTGGCGGCTTGGCCGAAGGTCTTGAAGCGCAGCACTCCATTTTCGGGCACCTTGACCAGAAACACGGAGCCCTGGACTTTGACGCGAAAGCGCGGCAATCCCTTGGCGCCCATGATTCCGTAACAGCAGTCTTCTTCGTTGCCCTGCTTACTGCCCGGTGAGTTGGCTGGCTGTTGGCCAGAAGACGCCCCCGATTCCGGGCGAGCAGCACTCAATTTTGCTGGCTGAGATGACCGAGCGGGCAGCTGGTCCGCGGCAGTTGAAGGTTTCACGGGCAGCGAGACGCGTGCGGATGGCTCCGGCAGCACAGGCAACTTGGAGGTGCTCGCCGGAGTTGGTTTATCACTGGCAATTGCCACTTTGGCTGGCAGCGATTGACGGGATGCCGCCGTCACAGCCGGCTTAGCATTCGCCGGCATGGATTGCCGCTTGCCACCGACTACTGCTGGTCGGGGATACAACTTAACAACAGCGTTCGCTCCTGTACCCGTTGTTCCCGATCCCGTTCCCGCTGCCACGGATCGTATGGGCTGAATGCCTTTGAGATTGGTGTTCGCCAATGGCCTAATGACATGCTGACCGACCGAGAAAACCGTTCCCGGTGCTGGTACCGCCTTGGACACTTGTTTGGCAATCCCCGTTGCGCTGCGCTTGCTGCCAATCTGAACGCTTTCACTTGGCAGTTTCTTGTCCTTGCTTTCCAGCTTGGTGATCGTTATGCCGCCGGGAGTCACGGTGTTCCCGCTACTCAGCAGCTCCTGCAGCGACTCGTTGATCTTGTTGTGCGCCATCAGGAGGCGACTGACCTTGGCTGGCGGCGGATGGGCGGAGGAACCGGGCGAGGAGGCAGCCTCGGGAGCCGACACCGACGTGGTCACCTGCACTTGGGGAGTCAGGTACTGGGTGGTGGGTGCCGCCTCTCCATTCTTGGCGGGCACGTTCGCAATGTAGGGCATAAAGCCGCCGGTCAGCTGGCAGGTGGTCACATCCTTGGGCGGACGCGGAACTACCGAATCCGTGGTTGTGATCTGCAATGCGCCGCTGCCGGTGGGCATCGTCTGTATGGTGAAGTTTGTGCGCGTTAGCTCTTCCTGCTTGATCTCCGTCAAGAGCTGTTGGTCCTGCTGCTCATCGATGACCAGCTGATCCTCCGCATCGTCGTCCTCCTCATCGCTGTCGATAATCACCACTGGCGGAACCGTCACGTCTTTCGTTTCCAATTCCACAGACAACTGGGAAGGTATTTTCACCACATTGAGTCCAGAGGTCTGTTGGGCCGCCAGCTTGGCCGTCGACTCCATGTCGATCTCGAAGTGCGTCTGCCCGTTCACGTGGAACACCCAGAGGGCCATGCTCCGGCGATGGCGCTGGACGGGAATGGAGTGCTCCCGCTGGTACACCTCACGCAGCATCATCTTGCGGTCCACGCTCTGCAGCAGCACCAACACCGGCGGCTGCATGTCCAGGCTCAGCGGTCCAAAGAAGATCTTCTTCTTGGACCAGGGCGCAACGAAGGCGTCGTATGGCGCGTTGGGAAAGAACTGCAGCTTCACCACCTTCTGCGTCTCCTCGGCCACCTTCATCACGCTGTGGATCCTGGTCAGCGAGATCATGTCCCCGAAGGCCGGCACGAAGATGTGCGAGAAGTCATCGAAGATGTCGAGCACCACCCAACGGTGGTCGGATTGGTGCACCTCGGGCACTTGCAGTTCGTCCACATCACTGGGGTGAACCTTTCGGAACTCGATGTTGCTACGGATTCCGGAGACGCTGCTCTTGGCTTTGATGCCGGGTGACAGAGCACAGGCTGGACCGCCAGGACTAGCAGCCGCTCCAGAAGTAGAAATATGAACCGCAGCAGAGTTGGGCTCTCGACCACCTGCAGCTCCAAGGGATGACAAACTCTCCGGCGGAGAAGAGGCTTCCTCGCTCTTGGTCGGCTTTTTCTGGTGCTCCCGAGAACGCTGCTTGGCAAGCAGCGAAGGTGGCGGGGGAACATCGGCGGTCAGATTGTCAGAGACCTCAGAGGGTGATCCTCCGGCGCCTTGCAGCTTCTTCTGGTGCTCCCGGATGCGCTGCTTCACCAGCAGCGAGCACAGCACATTGATCTTCTTGGTGAGCAGCGGATGGGTCATCGGTGTGGGCTTCGTGCAGGCATTGCCCTCCATGTGGCGCAGGAATCCCTTGACGAGCCAAAAGCTCTGCCTGCCCTGCATCACCACCGCCAGACGGTTGGTGTTCTCGTTCCGCGTCGAGTTCATCAGCATGCGAGCCATCAGCGGCAATGCCTGCGGATCCGGGGCGAACTTTGTGTTCACCACTCCGATGGCGCCGCACACCGAGGGCATCAGGTTGGCCGTGGTGGCCGCCAGGAAGCTGTGCGTCTTCATCTGGACGTCCCAAATGAACACGAATCCAGACTCAAAGGCGGCCAGGAAGTTGGTCCACTTGATGATGCACAGGATCTCCTCGTTGGGGGCCGGAATGATCTTGCTCTCGCGCTGCAGGGCCAGGTCAATGTCCTGCATCTTTTTGCTCACCAGGGTGTTCATGTTCTTGACCACTTCGTTGTAGAAGGACCGGAAGTTGGGAGAGTCCGTCTCGACGGAACTGTGTGCCGCTCCAGATGCGGCTGCAGCTGCCGCGGCTGCGTTTGCCATGCCAGAACCCAAAACATCCACGGAGGCGGCATTCAGCGAGTAGCAGGCGGCGATGCGGGGCACCTGAATGTCCAACTTATTCTCCTCCTCTGGAGGCGATGGTGCGGGTGCGGGTTCGGATGCGGTTTCGGGTGTGGGTATGGGTATGGGTGCCTCCGACTGGAGCTTCATGCGCTTGCTTGAAGTCGGACCCTTTTCAGGTTTTCCGCTCCGCTTTCGACTGCCCACCTCGCTGCTTCCATCGGAATCGTCACGCACCTCGATGACAGGGGCGTTGGCGGCGGTTTTTGCCATCTTGCTTTGCTCCCGCTTGCGCTGGCGATCGAGTTCCTTGCGGTAGTAGGTAATGGAGCCCTGCATGCGAGTCTTCAGCAGCTCCAACATTTCTGCAGTCTCTTGGCGGGACATGTAGTGACGCACTCGTTCCGCCCGCCGTTTGTTTAGGCGCTGGTAGGAGTTCTTGGGCACGGAAATGGCCCGCCGGCAGATATTAGGTCGCGAACGGAAGTAGCTGAAGATTGTGTCCAACTCAATGGAACGCTGGAGTGGAGACTCATCATTGAACAAGGTCGGAGATACTTTCGGCTCTTCTTTGGGTTCAGTCTTGGGTGGAGTAGACTCCTCTTCCTGGATCTTTGGCATTGGCTCCTCTTCAATTGCTTTCTGCTCCAACTTTGGCTTGAACTTCTTTTCCTTGCCCTTTTTCTTTATCGGCACATCCTCGGGCGGCCGCTCGAAACTGTAGTGAGCCCTGGTGGCCAGGTCTGGATTGAAGTGGGTCACCGGTGCGTTCCACTGCTCCTTCTCGATCACCACGGGCTTTCCATCCGGCGAGTCTCCGCCGCAAAAGCACTTGTAAAGCTGGTGGGTCATGCAGAACGTGGCCAAGTTATCAATGTCTGGCAAGCGACGGAGTCCCACAAAGCAATGCTTTAACTTGGCAAAATCCGTGTCCTTCACCGAGCAGGGTTCGCTTAGGGCAGGAGCAGCTATCTTGGCACTGGCAGCTGCAGCAGCAGCAGCGGCCGCAGCAGCCGCAGCGGCAGCCGCAGCAGCGGCGGCAATCTTCTTCTGCTTCTTCGTAGTGGGTGAGACCACATCCTTTTCCTCCTCGTCGAACATGGTGTCATCGAAATCCTCGTACCGCTTGGGAGCCTTTGTGCAGCGTCGCTTTTTGTCGCCCTGCGACTCGTTGATCAGCAGCGTCTCATTGTCGGTGAGCACCAATGTAGAGGTGAAGTCCTTCTCCATTTTGGCCAGCCGCGCAGTGGCCTTGCGACGCAAATTGAACGCATCCTCGTTGGAAATTCCTCGTCCCTGAAATTAGATAAAAATTGTTAGGACAGCAGCTACGGCGTCAGTCATAAAAGTAATATTACATCGGCAGCCTCCACGCGCATAACACGACCCTGTTCCGCACCCAGGCAACGGCAATCCAGGACACACTCTGCCCTGCCGCAATGATCCCGGACAGGCAGCTCTGTGCCTGCCAAGCTGGCGCACAGGCAGCCCAACTGACAGTGATCCTTGGCGCAGGGCTTGTTGGCTAAAGGGTATAAAAATCATGGGTTACTAATGCATTACAGGTAGATAGAGCAGACAAACCCACCATCAGCATTTCTGGCAGCGGCGTCTATGATGGTGGCATTCAATCGCCTGAGTTCGCTGGCCAGGCGCTTCTGCTTGTTGGGCAGCCGCTTTGACTTGCCACCAGACTTAACCGCATCCTTGCCAGCCTCCTCCTTGGCGGGACTCAGATCGGACGACTTGCCCAGTGCAGCACTGACGTTCAACGCATCCGGGTCCTCGCTTATGAAACTGTTCTCGCTGCAGCTGATGGCCACAGTGTTGATCATGTCGTTGATCATGTCCGCGCAGGCGAGCACATCGGCATTCGGTTGAGGTGAGAGCAAGAGCTTTTCCCGGAAGGTGAACTCCTGCAGTTTCTCGGGCACCTCGTTAAAGCTTTCGTCCAACTGCTCCGATCGATCCACCACGCGCCGCACCAGAATGTGATTCCGATCGTTGAGGTAGGGAATGACGAAGGTGAAACTCTTGCGGCGACCGGCTGGCGTTTGCGAAGCCTGCTCCTCGGCATCCCGCATGCAGGCGGGCGGCGTCTGCAGCGTGGACACACTGAACTCGGCCCACTCGCGCGTTATGTCGTGATGGGGCAGGATGTGCTGCAGATACCGCTTGGCGATCTCGTCGAGCGGACGGCCCAGCTGGGGCATCACGTCCAGCTGCACGTTTGGCATGCTAACCACCGCCATGCTTCCGCCGGCGAGCAGCAATGCGGCCGTGTCATCGTCCAGCGGTCGTTGGAACGGTTTCATGGACAGTGGGCAGGGACGAAAAATGGCGGGTAGCGGAAACTGGTTGAGGATTTTGGGGTTCCTCGGTGGAGCCACTTGTGTGGGAATCACCCTGAGCTCCCGGCTGATGCGCGCATCCAGGCACTGGCTGCTGCACTTCAGTTCGTTCTTTTCCTTGCAAGTTAACCGGCTCAAGTAGGGGCTCTTCTCGCGCCTAAGATTATTGCCTCGGGCGCCCGGAAGGCGCACCATCTCTCCATCCACCTGGATTACCTGAAGTAAGCCAAAGATTATTAGCCAAAATCCAGGTTGAAAGCCCCCTAAGACGACTTACCTGGTAGTAGTAGTTGGAGTTCTCGGTGGCCACATAACTGGCTGCCTGCCAGCCCTGGCGGGTGAAGGGCATTTGAGAGGATGGCGCCTGCAGGCCCTGCATGGCCCCGATCTTCACCTTTCGCTGGCGCTGCTTGCGCTGCAGCTCCCTGTATATGTTGGCCTCGTTGTTGATGATGCCCATCTTGTGGTTCTTGCAGCGCTGCAGGTACTGCCGCCTCTCGGCCACCGTTCGCAAGCGCTGCAGTGCCTCCGGAACGGCTGGCATGTCCATCGGCGGCGGCATGCTGTGCGAGGTGACCTGGCCATCGTGTCCCATCGGCTCGAGCAACTTGTCCTTGTCGTCCTTTTCGTCGTCGTTGATGTGATGCTCCCGCATATACGCATCCAGCGTTTCACTGACAAAGGCGGAGTTCCCCTCCGTGGTCTGGCAGTTGGTGGGCACCAGCGGCGTGAGCAGCATGCCCGGCTGGTGGACACTCTCGTCGAAGCCCACAAAGTCCTCGCTGCCCTCGTCCTCGGAGACGAAGGCCGGAGCCGCTAAGGATTCCGAGGGAATGTTAGCCTCGCGGGCAAAGTTCTTCACGCGCACCTTGCTGATGAGCATGTCCAGGAACTTGCTGCCGCCGGCCTTCTCCGCTTTGTCCGGCTTCTCGGCGCTGGAGCAGGTGCTGGTCTGGCCGCTCTGCTCCTTGCTGGGTGTGGCAGGGGTGGGGGCATCCTCCAAGGCAGCAGCTTGAGCAGGTGACTTCGTGGGCGTTCTTTCGGCTGCCTCCTTGGAGGGGCCAACTAGTGAATCCAGCTGAACGGCGGCGTCATCATCCGGCGTCTCCTGGATAACCTCAATCTGCTCCTTGGCCTTTTTCGCCGGGACATCCACACTGGGATTGTTGTCTTCTATGAGGGAGAGACTCCGCTTCCCGGTTTTTAGCAGCTCCAGCTGCTGCTTCATCTGCTTCGAAAGCTCTTCGGCGCCCAGCGGTTCGGCCACACTGTACACCTCAGTCTCCTCGTACTCCTCGATTCTGCCCATCTTTTTGTAGTGAGCCACCAAGGTCGTGGACCACTGGCGGACGTTCTGCAGGCGGCGCTTGATCATCCGCTTGAGACGCGGATCGAAGAGCAGGATGCGGACACGTCGCACAATCCGGACGCGATGGCTGCGCCGCCGGCGCCAGGCATAATTTCGGATCACGCAGCGTGGACTGAGGGCGTAGATTAAGAACCGCTTAACATTCCACCAGTTGCGATGCAGGAAGGCCTTGGACACGGGATATTTGCGCTTCAGATGGCGGTATTTGATCAGTTCTTTGCCCTTTAATACGATTGGCGGCAGTTCGTAAGTCATGCTGCGGAAAAGCCGAAAAAAATCATTACTGCACGCTGGAAAAACTTTAACCTCAAAAATCAGGATGATTTCCCAGTGCTCAAAAGCCGTGGAAATTAATGCGGTGTTGGCAACACTGGCCGGAAAATGTACTGATCACTTTTTCCAGTACTACTAAAACTCTACTATATACTATAAAACTACAAATGCGTGACACTGCGAATGCATAACTTTGGCTTTCAATTTGTAATAGTTATTGATGTCTAAATGTCTGCACATTGCAAATTCAATGAGCCACACTGCCCCGAAAAGGCAGCAGATACACACACGGACTAAGCAGAAGTGCTAAAGGCAACACAATTCAAAGGCTACCCATGACAGCAATGAATCTGTGGGCAATGTAATCATTTTTTTATTCATATTTTTTACGCACTTTTTGCAAACAGACCCAGTATCACAGAAACGGTATGTGCACGATTGTTGGTGTTGGTTTAGCGCCTTTTGCCGCACACCCGCACACCCACACAAGCAAACACGCGATGCGAAGAAGAGCACAATCAAAACATTTTGAGACTTTGATTTTCCGCACTTATGCTGACTGCAAACGATTGCCGAAATGCATTTCGTTTGAGCGCAACACTGATTCCATCTGCAAGTTGCACTTTTATTTGCCAGCGGAAAAGAGTAAAGACGGTGCTGCGAGTTTGCGATCAGATCTCAAAGTAATCCAGATTCCGACTCAGCGTCGCAGCCACATGTGTGCTTGCGAGTATGTGTATGTGAGCCCTGGCCGCTGTCCACTTCCAGGCATTTTCTGGGAACACATGGCAGTGGTCTAGCGGTTGTTGTTGTTGCTTCCGCAAGTGCGGTTGAGAAAGGGGAGTGGTGCGGGGGGTGGCACACACGTGCACCTTTCGATGACCGATAAATGTGTTATGTATAAATGCAGAAAAAAAAGACAAGGAAAGAACTTTAGGAAAATGTCCTTGTTTTACAACACTAAAGGTGAGGGTAGGTAGCGAGCGTGAAATTTTAAAGGATGATTCCGAAACAAGATCGTAGAAGCCTTAAAGAGACATGTGAATTAAAATTTACCTATATATAATAAACACTAGTTATGTAAGAAGAAAAACAAAAAAAGAAGGGAAAATATATATTTTTATCCAAACAAGGTAAAAACAATACAGGTCATAGAGACAAATACTTTACTATAGAAATCAATGAAATAAGTCACAAATTTGCAACCCGACGAAAAAGAGTCCTTTCAATAACAGAAGAATTCTACCTGCTCTGAAACTCGATCGATTTGTTCAGATTACCCCACCTACCAATCGCCCACCAATATATACTAAATTCGGTATGTTTTCCCTCAAGTTACTTGCACTTCATTAATTTCCCTAAATAATTGATCCTTTTAATTGCTACCGACTTGGTCTCGCAGAAAACTAATCAATAACCTCAAAGTGAAAATCCAACATGGCGTCGCAATGGATACATACACAAACGATCGCATGCGTCACTTGAAAGCACCCTCTACACTCCGCAGAAAACTGCCCATGCCGGCAATGTCCTTATGCATCACAACTAAATACCAATAAACGAGCACATACCTGTATTAAAAGCTGCTAATAACAGCCAGCTAGTTGGTCGGCACTTGCAAATCCGTAACCGCGGCACAATTGTCGAAAATATTTACACTATTAACCGACAGCTCAGTTGACGACGCGTCGAAAAAAAGCATAGCCGAATACATACACAAATGGTGACAGACAAATATACTGCGATTAATCAAATATGGCGTCCGATAGTCAGGGCGCCAAGGGATGATGGAATGAAACACAGGGCTGGCTGGGCGAAAAAAACCACACGCTGATATTTTATGGTCACAGAAAACGTGTTGGCACATTTGGATTGCAAACTGCAAAATGTGTATAATATTGAGGATCATTAATAAGGCACGTTTCGACACACGCACACAAGACCATTTTAAGTTTTTAAGCCAACGGACGCCTTGCTCCTCATTCGCGCTCTTTTTGCACCCCTGGTAGATGACTGCCCGCCCAAACAGGCTTGGCAAAGATTTTGGCTATATTTTTAGGTTAAAAGCACGCATGACCTAATCCCATTAAATAAATGGTCACATGTTTTTGTTTACTTTTATTTTGTTTGCAAATACATATGGTTAAAACTACAAATTGGATGGGGTGTTTTGGGAAGTACTGTACCTGGAAAAAGAATGTTTAGAATAGAATATGTTGTGAATCTTATAATTCAAAACAAATCAACAAGGAAGACTTCAGCAACTGTAATTAAAAGAGAAAGGCTTAATTAGCTTGAGAGAAAAATAGAACACGCTTTTCGTTTCTGGTGAAAATGATCAGTAGGACCTATTGGAGTAGGGTTTTGTTGCGGTTAATGTGAAAATCATGCCACATAATTCAGCTCTTTCTTTTCATCATTTTCAATAGAAACTTTTGAAAGTGTTTTCATAATTACCTTGTTATAACAACAACATGCTTTGCAAACTAAAAAATTAAAAGAAAGTCAATTGTTAATCGAGTGTTTTATTATATTCAGGTAAAAGGTATTATTTCATGTAGGATTTGTCAGTAGGACCTATTGGAGTAGGGTTTTGTTGCGGTTAATGTGAAAATCATGCCACATAAATCAGAATTTATTTTTCATCAATTAACAATTTAAAACTATTTTCAAAGGTTTGTATTTACCTTTTAAAGAGGAACCGGAATCAGAATTAATCATGTCATGGGATTAACCAATCTAAAAAAGAAGAAGAACGTTTATTTAGTCAAAGATAATCAAAGTCTTTAATTAATTATTTGTTGTGATGTTTTTCAGTAAGACCAATCTCGCATTCAACAGGAGAAGTTTCAATTTCAGATAGGGGCGAAAGTTAATGCTCATCACTTTAAAATCTTACATGTTTATATAATGCAATATTTACCTTTTTTTTGTAGGAATTAGTATCCATATTGGTCGCATTCACTTGTTAAACCAATCTGCAAAATTTAAGAAAACGATTTTATTTAGTAGCAATAACCCAAAAGTTGGAAACTTTTTAATTGTAATACATTTCAGTAAGACCAATCTCGCATTCAACATGAGAAGTTTCATTTTCAGATAGGGGCGAAAGTTAATGCTCATCACATTTAAAACTAATGTTCTTATATATTTAAATAATTACCATTTGTGCGGTAACTGGTATCCACGATTATCGGATCCATTTTATTTCCCAATCTGTAAATTATATAAAATTCTTTTATTTAGTAAGCTACAACGAAAAGTTGGCAAATATTTAAATTGTTATACATTTCAGTAAGACCAATCTCGCATTCAACATGAGAAGTTTCAATTTCAGATAGGGGCGAAAGTTAATGCTCATCACTTTAAAAATGTATACATATTAATATATTATATTTACCATCTGGTTGGGAACCGCTATCTGTAATGATCGCATCCACTTGATAGAACAAACTGCAAAAAGTAATAAAAAGATTTTATTTAGTAATCTGAACCCAAAAGTTGGAGTTTATAAATTGAAATACATTTCAGTAAGACCAATCTCGCATTCAACATGAGAAGTTTCAATTTCAGATAGGGGCGAAAGTTAATGCTCATCACTTTAAAAATGTATACATTTATATGATAATATATTTACCATTAGGTTGGGAACCGCTATCTGTTATGATCGCATCCACATGATAAACCAATCTGCAAAATGGAATAAAAAGATACTTAGCAGGGATAAATACAAAATTTGACATTTTTTAGTTAAAATATATTTCAGTAAGACCAATCTCGCATTCAACATGAGAAGTTTCAATTTCAGATAGGGGCGAAAGTTAATGCTCATCAAAAAATTACTGAAAAATTATAATATAATGGAGACTCACCTTGTACACACTAGCACACTCCCACATTTCGTCCTTTGAGTATTTTTCCATGCTAAAAATAATAAAAAATAATTATTTCTTATGTCAAAATCTGGTTTAAAGCATGGGAATATGCTCTAATATGCTTTTTTGCGTTATATTTTTATGCGATTTATTTTTTAGTTAGGAATGAAAGTTATTGCTTTTAAGATAACGCAAGCAAAAGCAACATTAAAAGACACTTAAAAACATAGCTTTTTTTTTAAACTCACCTTGCATTTGAGTAGACCTTTCTTACTGTAAAGCTAATAAGAACTAAAAGAGCTTGAAAAACTAGCCAGGCTTTTACAATAAAATATACAATTTATTGCATTGCGAATGTCACTTAAATGCATTTTGTAATTTGTATGCACTTCTACACATAAAAACTTGTACTTAAACTTAACAGCTAGCAAATTGGTAGGTGTCTCTACACAAAAACCGTAGAGTTCTCTATAAAACCTAATCCTATAGAAACATTCGATTTCTATTCCTGAGCTTCTTCTCTGTCCCTATCCTTATCCTTCTTCTTCTTCTTTTTCTTCTCCTTTTCTACTGGCTCTGCATCGGCAGATGCCTCCTCCTCGGCAGCTGGGGCCTCCTCGTCGCCCTTGTGCTTCTTCTTCTTCTTCTTTTTGTCCTTGGAAGGAGTCTCCTCGGAGGCTGGGGCGGCCGCCGTCTCCTCAACACTGGAGGTGCTCAATTTGCGCTGGATAAATGGATTAAGTCAGTAAGGGATTATCGAAGACGAACAAAAATATCCTACCTTGCTGGCGTCACTGGAACCATTTGAGGGAGCAGTTTCTTGTGGAGCTCCTGCTGCGGGCTTCTTGGCATTGTAGTCCACATACCCGGTCAGCCACTCCTTGGGTGTGTTCTCATTGGGCCGGCCGAATTTGTCCAGCTTGCCGGCGGCAATGAGCGCCTTCTTGGCCGATGCCTTGGGGCCCAAGCCCCACTTGCGCGGATATGTGTCGCGCTCCATGATCACACGCTTGATCTTGGCCACCACACCATGGTCGCAGGACGACATGGTGGCTGTGGTCATCAGGGCAATGGCCAGGCAAATGGCCTCGCCCTTGGTGGTGCAAATGACGATCTCCTGATCGATCTCAATGCCATCCTCGTAGCGCAGGACACCGGGCAAGGTGATCTTCGCACCATAGCAAACGGCATTGACCTGGGGAATACCAAGTTGGTTAGTTGCCATCAAGTTTAGTATTTGAAAATAAAAGATGTCGAGCGAAATTTCTTTGTGAAGCGCGCAGGTTAAAAGCGCTGCCTCACATACACACATCACTGGCTTTACTGTTCCCAATCATAGTCACAGGTGCCCGTGGGGATTGCAGGCACCTGCCGGCTTAATATCATGGGGTAAGCCATCAAATTCCCAGTGCCCCCCACTTACCGAACTGTCCTTCATGATGATGCGCTTGTGGTTGACCAGCAGACCCTCCAGCGGCTTGATCACGCGTCGCAGCATAGACTCGTCCTTGTGGTTCTCGTACAGCCACATGGCGTCCAAAACGTCGTGCATGGTCACCATGCCGTCGCGCTCCGACTGAATGCCCGAGCGGACGCGACGCAGCTCCAACATCTGGCCACCGACGCCCAGGACGAGACCCAGATGGACGCACATGGTACGAATGTAGGAGCCGGCCTCGCAACTAACCCAAAAAACACCTGAGCACGTGAGTAGGCGGCAGTGGAGTAGAGAAAAAGACAATTGTTTAACACATACAATGTGCATTTGCGCGGTTGGGCAAATACTGGAGTTTCAATCACATATATGCAGGTTGCATCCCTGCAGGACAAACTAATCCTGCAGCAAGGCACTAGCTCGTGGGTAATAAAAGCCAGACTCACCCATATTGCGACTCTCATCGTAGTCCAACAGCTTGCTGTCGTAGACCGTGCGCACTCGCAGCTGTCGCTTTACGGCGGAGATGAGCGGAGGACGCTGGAATAGGGCGCCGCGAAGCTTCTCCAGACCCTGACGCACCTTGGCCACCGACTCCACGGCTCCGTGGAGCTTGAAGATAGCGACGTACTCCTTGCCAGCGCTCTGCTGTGACTTGACCAGTCGGGTGGCCCTGTCGATGCAGACAATCAAGCAACCTGCCAGAAAAAAAAAATAAAAGAAAAACACGCGGCCACACATTGAGGTTAGGTTTGGATTGGAGGGGAGGGAAACACGCGCTGCCACCTACCCGTCACTTTGGGATCCAGCGTGCCGGAGTGGCCCGTCTTCTCCACCTTAAGGATCTTCTTGATCCAGGCCACCACCTCGTGGGAGCTGGGGTTCGACGGCTTGTCCAGGTTGATGAAGCCCGTCTTCATGTACTCCTTGATGTCGCGGTTCAGAGGCGAGGATCCGTGGGCCAGTGGCGTATAGTGGTTGGAGCGGATGTTCAGTTTGTCGAAGTTCTTGAGCAGGAGCGGCCATTGCGAGGTGTCCAGCTGGGCGATCTTGGAGGAGGGCTTGATCTGGAAGTTGCCCTCCTTCTGCAGCGTGCCAATGTCATCGCCGTCCACGGGCTCCTCTTTGACCTTCTTCTTTTTCTTCTCCTTGCGTACCTCTGCGGGCAGATAATCCGTACAGTTGCAGTCCGCTTTTTATTCATCACACTTCGAACTTACCCACGTCGGCCATTATATCTGCGTTTGTCTGGGAAATCTGCTGATAGACGGAGCAAGCCTGCGCACGTGTTGCTTGCTGGGGAAAAATGGAAGAGAAAACACGTGGAGCGCGCGGTCTATCGATATGTTAGCGATGCACAGTTAGCGATGCGTGATCGATAGTTGCACACAGCACTGCATCAAATGCAACTATCGATATATACATAAAAATCCGTTATCAGAAGCGCCTTGGCGCCAATATATACAGTTTAAAAAATTGAATTATTATTTATTTTTTATGCAATTTAAGACCGAAATTTTGCTCAAAAATCTATTTTTTTTGTGAAATCGATATTAGTGTCCAAAAAAACTTTACTTTGCGTATTCCTTCGATTAATTACTAGATTAGACATAACTTTAACGACATATCTTTGATTTTTAAATTTCGGAGGATCCAGTCCAAAGTGAATAGCCCCTTAATCATTTAAGATGTATAATTAATTTGAATAGTAGTTTAAACAAATTATAAAAGTTAATATTGCAGCCCTTGTCAAGCACCTGCAACAGCTGTTCTTATCGATAGTTACCAGCTGTATAAAATATAAGACGAGTAAACGCTGTGGTCACACTGGCTAATATCTCCTGCAACCGGTTGTTTATTTTTATAGAATCTTGAAATAAAATCCTTCAGGAACATGTCAAGGCGAGGACTTCTACTATTGGGCCAATGCATGCCCTGCGTCAAGCAGAATGCCTCCAAGATACGTATTCGGCGTATGGAAATGGACAAGAATCTGAATATGGTATGCAAAACATTGGCAATACCACGGAAAAAACCACACAATTATTTACCTCTTTTTCTTGCAGTACTTCAAAAAGGATGAGTTCTACTTTGCCCACGATCCGCAGAAGGTGTGCAAAACCGGGGATGTGGTCCTGATCCGGGAGCTGCCCGAGCGACTAACCCGCCTCATCACTCACAACGTGGAAAAGGTCGTCTATCCGCTGGGTGACATAACCGATCCACTGACTGGAAAGAAGGTGGTCGTGGGCAAGTACCGCGAGGACATCGAGATGGCCAACCAGCTGTTCGGAAAGTCGGAGAAAGCCTTCGACTACGACAAAGCTCCGCCTCGCGGTCGCCTCGAGGGAACCAAGGATTTCACGCACGGAGAGACCTACATCAAGTACCACGAGGATGGCAAGGATCAGCCCTTCGCCGTGTAGAGCACCACCGGTCGTTTATCTGTTAAGTTTCCCCTTTGTTTGATAGTAAAGTGAACTAATTTGTCCTAGATATATATATGAACTTTTTATTCAGGCCTCAGGAAACCAAATTGCACTTGAATTCTCAGAGAATAGTTATAGAATTCAGCTGTCATTCTTGTTAGTAAAATTCATTTAATTGTCCAAGATAAGTCTAGTCAATTGAATTGTTTGAGAATATTTCTTCAGCGTTTAAAAACTAGTTTATTAGTCTGCTCAACCAATCAAAAACCTTGGGGCTAGAAATCTATCTCAAATCATCTTCTGTTTCGACCAATGCTTAAAAACCTTGCTTTATATAAATGAGAACTAGATAACAACTATAGGATTTAAATATGAGCCCAAAAAGCTCTGAACTATTAGGTCTTTGGTCAAATTTATAATTAAAAAATCATAATTATGACTTCTTTGTTAAAAAAACATTCATTTATTTTCAATCAGCCACAAAAACTTAGAAAATCCATCTTAAATGTAAATCAAATAAGTACCATTTCTTTTCGAAAATGTTTTTTGAATTTCACTCAAAACTTTCCATTTCCCAGCCACTAAAAGAACATTTTAAAAGATTTCTCTACATATTTTATTTAAATGGTCGATAATTGTTTTGCATTTATTAATGATTTGTTTTTTTTTACGTATAAATGTATTCGTTTTAACTTCTGCTCGCTGATCAACAGTTTTAGTTTATATCATTTTCTCATTTTCCTAATTTAAACGAGTTATCCGTGTTGGGGGTGCCAGGACATATCCGCAACATTCAAACATGCAGTACACACACATATGCGTAGATTTTTGGAGTTCAGATTCGATCCGTGTCATAAATTAAGCTGTAAACTAATCACAATCTCTTACGATTCTAAAGTTGTACTGGAGTATGGGGTTCGCCAGGTGAGCGCTGTCGTCGCAAAGTTTTTGCTGCAACTGAAAGAGTTGAGGAATCCCCGATAAAGCTTTACACAATGCTGAACTCTCACCTGCTCCAAGTCGTGGCTGGCGCGGAGCATAAAGTCACGCAGGAAGTAGCCGCGGTCGGGTAGATCCAAAGCCAGGCTCAGCTTGTTCTTGCCCTGCTGCTTGAGGATCTTCACTCCGCTGGTGGGCGTGGCCTCGTCATCTTCGTTCAGCTGGGCGTTGGCACTGGGCTTGGCCTGATCCTCGTCGATGCAGATGGACCACTGCAGCGGCTTGTTGGAGCTGTCGAAAGAATTATGGTTATTACTGCTTTACTTATCAAGAAAAAGTGTATTAGGTATGTCAATAAACAATTGTTTACAAGCTTCCTTTATTTGAACAAAAATGTTTTTTATATAAAATTATGAGAACAGAATTTAGCTTAATTCTAAGTATGATTTTATAAAAACCTTTATTTTATTGAAAGACCGCTTAGAATTGAATGTTTACAAACTGTTTTTCCGATGATAATCAATTTTAGGATTTTTTAAACATTTTTTTAACTTATTAGCTGTCGACAAATCTTTCGATTCCTCATTTTGTTAATTAAATTTTTTATAATGATTAGACATCTGTTTATATATATGGAAAACTGTTTACCAAACATTCGATTATATTAAATAAATAATAAAATAACGACTTTGCTTTTATACCCAAAAGCTTAACTCTTCAAAACTTCGCCATTATGTTAATTATTTACGAAATATTGTGGAATTTTAATACAGCTTAATTCAGCTTCTCACTACAAAGGAATGATATAAAAAAAAGATGTAAGAAAAAACAAATTTTAATATAAAATTCAAAACATAACTTATTTCTTTACAAAATTATCTACCTCTTAAAAAAATTGCCAAAAATGATTAGTTCACATTAGTGCATGCTATTTTGAACTTTAAAAAGTAGTATAACAACTGCCGACTTTATTGCATTTCCCCTAAAACATAGTGCAATACACGTACCTCAGATGGAGCTCCAGACTACTGGCCTGCAGGTATCGCGAGACGGGAACTATGTAGCTGACATTGAGGGAACTGCCCGAGGTGGGACAGAACTGCTCCACGTCGATGGTGTGGTTGTACTGGGCGGCCAGGACGCAGCTGGCCACGCTCCAGCAGTCCAGTTGGAAGGGCGGCAGCACCGTCTCTTCCGCCTTGGCACCTGATCCCTGATCCTGATCCTGGGCAGAGGCAGAGGCAGAGGCGGAGGCAGCCTGTACCAGCTGGTAGACGGGATCGTCCTTGGCTGCGAGCACCGTTTCGGTGTCCTGGGGAAACTTCTTGGCCAGGGCATCGGTGCTGTGCGAACTTTTGCCCAAGAATCCTGGCTGGTTGGCCTCCAGTACGGCCGAGGTCTCATTGCCAACCACGGCGGCGGATTGCGGCTCTTGGATGTCCGGATCCTGGTCCTGCTCCTCAGCCGACTGCAGATCGTCCTCGACATGCTGCTCCTTCACATTGGCATCCACATTGTCCGGCTCGGGCTGCTTCGGAGGCAGTTCCTCGAAGCAAACGGACTGGAAGAGAGCATGGCTATAACAAATTTTTAATGAGGATTATCGCAAAGCCAATCCTTACCTGACAATTATCGCTGACCGACTCATCCCCATTGCACTCAGCCGGCTGTCCAAAGAGCGGCGTCTTGAAGCTCCGCTGCCGGATCCACTCCAGACTCCGCTGGCTGGCCGACCGCCTGCCCACATTGGACTCCCGCAGCCCGGCTGCCTGGTACTCGAAGCCGTACACCCCGGTGATGGGGTTGTCCACGGACTCGTTGGTGTTGCTCAGGTTCTGCAGGTCCAGGGCATCCGGATTGTCGCTGCTGTTGCGCAACGGAATGGCCGGCGGTGGAACGTCCAGAGCCTGGGCCAGCGGACCCTGGACGCCGGACTCGGTGCTCACCTTGTTGGTGGTCAGGGCCAGGTTGGATGTGGGTGGCGACACCGTCTTGTAGACGTGCGTGTAGACGGTGCCCGGGTTGAACTTGCGAATGGGATGGCCAGCGGCTGCGGGGCCACTGGAGTCGTAGGCATCGGAAGCGGGACTGGCGATGGTGCCCACCACCACGATGTGCTCGTCCAGCTTCAGCTGCGACGACTGCTTCAGCTGGGCATCGATGTCGATGGAGTTGTTCTCGAAGTCCTGCGGCAGGAGTATTGCCTGCGGAGGCTTCTCCGTTGAGGCCAGTGTCTCGTTGACGACAGCAGCTGCGGCAGAAGGATTAGGAGTAGGAGGCGGCGGCGGAGGATGAGGAGCAGGAGCAGGAGCCTTGGCCACGTGCAACTTCTGGCCGGCCGCTTGACGCAGCACCTCCTGGGTGGGCGGCCACTTGCCCTTCTTGCTGTTGATGGTCTTGTTGCTGAACCGCGGCGCCGTCGTTGTGATCAGCACGTGCTTCGGACTCGGCTGGCCACTGGACACCTGCGGCTTGACCAACACCGCCGCCAGGTCAGCCGCCTCCTCCTCGGCCGGTCGGTATCCGGGCGGACGGGCCGTGCTGCTGGTGGCGTACATCCGACCGGGCCACGTGCCGTTCGTCTTGTTCTTGAAGAGCGTGTGGAAGTAGTGCCGCTCCTCGTCGCTCAGGTGCGTCGGCCCCGCCTCCGGGCGGAAGTGACCGTTGCCGAAGATCTGGTAGTCCATCTGCTGCTGCTTGTTGTGCTCCACGAAGTACAGCGTCGACACCGCCGCCAGGCTTTAAAAAGACGAGAACGGGAAATTATAGAGTGGTTCTTCGTTAACTAAAGCAAAGCACTTTTCTGGGTATGTTATGAAATGACCACAGAAAATTATAGAAAATTACGATACTAAATACAATTTCGATGGCTGGGGGGCCGAAATTGCAAGTCGGGGTCACCTTTTTTTAAGCCAAAACGACCCAAAACCGAGGATCATAATATAAATGTAACATCAAATTATTAACATTAATTTGATACATTAACTTGTTAATTAATAACAGTGTGTTTTGAAACCAAAACAGTATACCCCTTTACTGTTTAATTGGATTATATATAAAATATATACTTTAACTATATATACAAATCACTGTTTTGTATTTAAATGCATACGCAATAAAATCGATACATAGCCGTTTTATAGAATATTTAATTTTTTTATCATAAAGTTGCTGTAGTAATTCATTGGAAAATTTTACATAACTTATATAGTATTTTAAAAAAAGCCATTTTAAAGACATTAAAAGATGATGTTTTTCTGAAGCTGAATGGAAAATGTATCTTTACTCACCAGGCGGCCATAACGATGATCAGCAGGAAGATGACGATCTGCAGGGAGCGGCTGGAGCAGACCTCGTAGCCGTCCCGCCGACTGGCGAAGGGCTTAATGGCTCCTCGCTCCGGCAGGATGCAGCGCGGCTCCAGCAGGTCCTTGGCCCGCAGTTGGTGACTGCTTTGGCCAATGTTGGCACGTTCCAGGTGCTCGATGCGCGACTCCAGCGATCCCGTCACCTTGCACAGCTCCTTCACGGCTCCGATGTTCTCCATCAGAATGCGGTCCTTTGGTACGTATAGAAGATGAAATTGAATGGATGAACTGGATGGAATAAATCCAAACACCCACCTTATTGACCAGCAGGAAGTTCTCGATGACCCTTCCGTTGGGCAGCACCACGCTGCCAGCCTCTTGCACTGCATCGGGGATCACCTCGCGCACCTCCTGCGCAATCACGCCGGTGTCCTCGATCTCCCGCGTGTCGCTCTGCCGCCGGAGACCCGAGTGCACAGCGAACTCCGGCTCGTAGCGGTAGCGCACTATCCGGATCTTCTGCAGATTGCGTAGCTGCACCGACGTGTCCAGCTCGGCGATCTCCTGCTTGGCGCGACTGTCGCTCGGCTGGACGATGTGGCCGGACACCTTGAGGTTGCCATGGACCACCAGACTCTCGTCCGGCCGGTCCATGTTGATGCCCACGCGACCCATGTGGACCACCGATTCTGGGGTGAGGCCACGCTGCCAGCACAGATCCACGTCGGACTCGAATTGACCCGGGTTCGAGGCACGGACGATGATCTTCTCGCTGCCGTGACTCACCACCGGAAAGTTGCCGGAAATGGTGTGCACATGGAGGCCCACGACCAGCTGGAAGAAGCGCTGCTCCGGATTGGGGCGACCCTTCTTGCGCATGTTGTTGTTCGTCGTCTCCGAAAAGTGCAGCCGGCCCACGGTGATCTTGCTCACTATGTGCTTCTGGAGATCGATGCTGCGGGTGGAATTGGAAAAAGGTTAGTAACTCCATAGTCAACAAAAAATAATAAATAAAATGTAGTGCAGAAGAGGTTTTAAACCAATTATTACAAAATTGGTTTCAATATTTTTAAAACTCCAATTGTACCAAGTATATATTTAAAGGCGATGATTCCTAGTACCTTTTTTTTAAATTTTTAAGATGGCTTCAAACTCTATTACAAAATGTATTCCTATATTTTTAAATCTCCAATTGTACCAATTATGTATTTAATGAGAATGTCCCAAAAGCCTATATCCTATTAATCCCTATACCCTTTTTAAAGACGTTTTTTTAAACAAAAAATTGCTTCCCAATGTACATTGTCAAATCAAATTTGGAACTCAAAATTTAATATTTTCGATGTTGAATTACAGAATAATTAAAATTTTTTGAAAGACAAAACTTTTCACAACTCCAATAACTTTTTTAGTTAAATTTATTGACTTATTTATTATTTTATTAAATTATGTTTATATTACTTAGGTGAATACCCCATATATGGTATGTTATTATGTAGCGTTCTGAACTTGTGAACTATTGGAAACCAGCAAGCAAGAAACTGGATCGCGATTGCTGGGGAATCACACAAAATAGAAAATGCTGGGAAATAATAGTAAATAATTAAACCACCTAATTTCTATAGAAATATGATAAAATATTTAATTACTAATTTGTAAAAAAAAAAAATAATATATGGATTAAGTAAGAACAAAATATTGATATGGCTTATCGATTTGTTATGTTATTATTGTTTGCCGGTCTATTATGATAATTTTATAACCTAGGCATTATTGACCTATTAAAACGAAATTGTAATATTTGTTTACCCTTGTTGTGTTCTGGTCTTTCTATGAGTACAAAAATTTGGTTACCATTTAAAGTGAACAAGTCTAGAATTTACATATATCGACTTAATAGCATGTATGTACATATTTAGCATAAACTTTATTGTTGATTTGTTACTTGGTTTGTTACTTGGTTGAAATATGTAAGTTGTGTCCTTTTTTTTGGGGAATTTCTTTGCTTTTAATAAACAAAAAAAATATTTATAAAATTGTTGAGTGTTTTTTAAATAAATAAACAATAATTTTAAGCATAAGAGAATTATCTTGCGAATAAATGGAATAATTCTATGGTCCTACTCTTACCTCCTTACAAACAAAGATTTTAAAAAATGCGATTTTAGGGTCTGCGCATTGGCTATAAAGTTTATCACTCATACGTACTGTTGCGCAAGGCATTAAATTGTTTGGATTTTAATTAAATTTATATTGCACCAATATCTACTATTAAAAAGCGTGGGAGTAAAATTCCTTGTAAATATACAAACATGTTAAATTATTTCTTTCTACTCACGGTACGGGATAGAAGGCCTTCTTGGAGCGATCCGATTGGCTCTGCTCCACGCGGATCGTCTGGTTGGGCGCCTCGAACTTGACGCCGTAGAAATGCAAGTGGAAGGATTTGATTTTCTCGAAGCCGGACGGTGTCTTCACGAATTTGGCATCGCCCTGGAGGCGCGCATGGCAAGTAACCTGGAAGTGGTTCTTCTTCTGGCACACGTACGCGTCGTCCGAGACGCTGAAGTTGAAGCCCTTGTCCGCGTCCACGCGGTAGTAGATCACAGACAGCTCCTGCAGGCTCTGGTCGAAGAGCTTGTGCCAGTTCTCCGGCTGGAAGCCGTTGAACCGGATGCACTGGCCCCCCGCCGGATCGCCAGCTTCGCTGCCCGATCCCGATCCTGATCCCGAACCGGATCCCGAACCGATGGCCACTCCGCCGCCAGGCTGTCCGTCCAGGCTGTTGTCCGTTTGCGAATTCACGGCGGACAGGGCTGGCGATACGGAAGCGGAACAGTGGGAGGGCGCCGGAGTGGGCGTGGCCAGGGAGTGGTGGGAGGCGCGCAGGGGACTCATCTGCAGACCCGCATCCACTTTGGGGGTGGGTGCAAAGTCGGGACAATCCAGCTGCGTGGACATCTTGCGCTTGCGGGACAAGGAATGCACTGGGGTGGAGGGAGCGGACACACGATTGAGGGACAACTGGCTGGTGCCGATCACCTGGACGCGATCCAGTCCCAGGGCGGAGGTCAGAGTGCAGGTGGACAGGTTCTGATAGCTGCCGGTATGCGGATACAAGCCCGCACCACCCACCGCTCCATCGTTGTAGTAGAGCATCGTATCCTGGAGGATCCCATCCTGGTGATGGCTGGCAAACTGCTGCTCATTGATCTGGTGTTGATGGTGCTGCTGCTGCTGCTGTTGCTGTTGCTGGTGTTGCTGCTGATGCATCTGCTGCTGCTGCTGCTGCTGGCACAGCAAGTTGCCCGGATTAATGATGAGTCCGGATTCGTGCTTGATCCGCACATCCGTCTGTGGAGCAGCAAATTGATGCTGTTGCTGCTGCTGCTGCTGCGGCGGGGAGGCGTATTGGGCCAGGTCCGTTTGGAGCAGGTGCGGCTGGTGCTGCATGGGCGGCAGACCCGGATAGATGAGCTCCCGCCCCGACATCGCCATGCCATGGGCCTCGCCCAGCGGACTGTAGGCGGGCTGCGAGTCCGGCGGACTCTCCGGCAGCTGCGGATGCACGTGGCTCTGGGCTTGCGTCGCCACCGGCGTACTGCCCAAGCGTCCGCATCCACCCAATTGGGAGTGGGTGTCCAGGCCATTCATGGGCGGTGTGTGCGGCGACTCCATGTGGGTGTGCACCCCTCCTGCTCCGGACAGGTGACCATTGTGGCCCAACTGGATGCTGTCGTCGAGGGCTCCTTGCATCAACAGATCCAGATTGTCCATGCCATCGCCATTTATGCCGTCCAGATCTTGCGGAGCTGTAAGAACAGAAATTAAGGTAATTATTAAAAGGTCTTGTTAGCACTGGCTTAAGCAATCATATTATATTAATAAACTAATTTATTAATTAAATACTTTGTGAGAGATATGAATGTGAAATAAACTGACCAAAGCAACCTATTGAATTAATAAACTAATTTATAAATTTTTTTATGTGACATTATATGACAAAGGATATATAAAGTAATTAATTACTAATATATAAATTTAGTACTTCTAACATGAATATATTTTTATTATTGCAATTAACAATAAAAATAAGTTTGTAAATTAAATATATTTTCTGTAATAAATATCTTTATACAATTTAAATTTACTTTTTTTTGTAAATAGGAAAGGATTAGAGATTATGCTCGGCATAAGCAAATTTAAAAAATCGTTCCTTTCAATTCAATAATTTTTACTGAATTTAATTGGCAAAACAAAAACAGCAGCACTAATTAAAAAAATTAAAATAAAATATTTTTATAATATAAATATCTATAGCTCAAATTAAAATTAAATCTTTATGTTTTAATATATTATGAAGCTAAAAGTATTTAAATTCTGTTGACATTGAACATATGTATACATTTTGGTGGCTATATTATTTTTCAAATTAAGTAAGTCTACCACAAAGGCATTGCTGGGGATCGAGTGTGATAAAAACATGGTCTACAGTTGACATTAAATTCCTTAAGAGAGAGCCAGTACAGGTGTGCATTTGCCACAAAGCTAAAAGGATCTCAAATAGAACTATGTTCCGTAGAAATATACAAATTTAATATTCCCCTGCAAAAACAATAAACCAATTAAGTCGGAAAGAGCTACTCTGCTACGTAATTGGTGAGTAAACATTGACATCCAATAGTGAAATGTAGGCAAACAATGTTTTATTATCTTTCGAAGTAGAGCAAAGTCCGGGAATCGCAGGCGACGCGGACTGCAAATCATAATACCAGAAAAACATTTCATTTATTGAGAAATAGTAGAAATATCGCACGTTTCTGTGGGGGCGTTTACCATAGCCGTAGATAATTACGGTTGAACAAACAGATCCGGGGCACTGAATACTGAAAACTGAAAACTGGGAGCAACCCGCCTAATGATAAGCCCTGAAATTCCCGCTCTGTTTGATCGATAAATGGCCAAATAAATTGTTGACGTGCCGAATGCAAATTGTTGTGTAATTTATGCAGGCTGCTTTGGGCGGATTATTATTATTATTATTATGATAGCATTTACCATTCAAAGTCTTGGGGTAGTCCATAATTAATTTGTCGCTTGTCACCGAATTGTTCGCGGGGGATTCAAGTCAGCAGGACTTTCGAATCCGAAACTTTTTCAACGCGAACGCCTCGCAACTTGGCCCAAACGAATCGCACTGATGGCCAAGTTACTTGCTGCTGACTGCCAGCATCCATGGAAACGAAATGGAAAAAACGGAGTTTCGATTTCAGTAACCCCCCGGTTTTGGATGCATTCTGCTGCTGCTGCTGTTGCTGCCACTGCAGCTCCGTTTCGAGCTGAGAAAATAATTATCTAACGCACGTATGAGCGAGCATACGGTTGATGCACTCTTCACAACTCGCTGAGCAGTGAAAATGGCTCGAAAACAAGCAGATACTAATAATCAAACTATAAAACTGAAACTGAACTGAACTGAAACTGAAGAGGGAGTCCAATCGGCATGGTAACCAACCGAAAGCGCCAATGAAATCGAAACCTAATTGCTTGGAATAAATATAATAATGGGAGCCCTCAAAATCAGCGAAACTTCAAAAGTAGCAGCAGCAGCAGCAGATCATCGTCATTTTTCAGGGTCTTCGGGAATCGCGCAGCTACTGTTTATGCAATTGTTCTCCGATATAATATTTTTACAAATGCTTTCGTAGTACTCCGCATGCCCCTCTTTAATCACTGCAAAACTGTTTCCCCAATCTCAGAAGTTCGCGAATTGCCAGCAATTTGCCACTCTTTATTATTATTTTTGTTTAGTCACTGGGCGAAACGTCGCGATACGTCGGATGTGGATTGGAAATATCTGAGCACTGACTGCGGCCAGCGAAATCATAACCGGAGTGCAAATATTTGGGCTTCCGTCCCCCGAAGTCGGGGTTATTGATCAAACAACCTGCTCGTTTCGTGTGCCGCACAAGTGGCATGCAAATCCCAGCCAGTCGGAGCGAAATTGTATGGAAAAATATATTAAACGATTCCAGCTATCATATATCCTGATTGTCTCATTCTGGGTCTGTCCCTGTCTGTGTTGGTGTTTGAGATGCAGAACTTTGGACAGACGAACCTTTACCAACTCAATTTCGAATACCCTTGCTTTCATTTAGAAGTGCTTAAAGTAGTTTTTTAATTTTTAGAATGACTCAGCTTTATTTTCATCTTTTATGTTAACTATAGTTATAGTATATTTCATGACTACTTGAAACTTTGTAAGTTGGTAACCTTTATATTTATATTTTAATCAGACGAATTTTTAAAAACGGACTCTTTTTATGTTCTTTTATTTATTTTGGAGGTATTTTTATGATTTAAAATTTCCCACTTATATGGAATGTTTTATACTTCTACAAAAGGTAGCAACCAAATTTTGAAGATCCTTTTTGCTTATTTATATGCTTTTAGATATTTTATAAAAAACGTATCATATGCTTAAAACAGGATAGGGTGAGGCTTTAGTTAAATATTTTTTTTTCTGGTAAGATATTAAAAATTAATCAACAGAAAAGTGCTGCCTATATGTAACCGTATGTTTTAGCATGTTTGTTTTAATTTGCAAATTAGTCAACTTTTTAGTTTTCCTTAGAAGAAAATCTTTGTATTGATAATAGTACTTTTTTTTAGCTTTAAAGATTTTCAAATGGATGCATTGAAATTGTATTTAGATAATTTAATGAGTAAAAGATGTATACTGTTTTATTTTGTAAGGGAGAAATCACAATAAACGTAAGCTATTCAAAAGCCAAATTCAACATAAATTTGAATTAAAATTTGTTTGTTATAACAAAAAGCGTCGAACATAAAAACCTAGAACTAATAGTTTGGGGATTTTGTATTTATTTACGAAACTAATGAAGAATTTGTTGTGATTAATTTTTTTAAAATTAGTTTAGTTCTGTTTAAAATAGTCTAACCAAGTTTTATTGATTTCCTCTTTAAGCCATTTGCTACTTTGGTATAACTTGTTTCAAAAATGTTTTGTGCAACCTATTATGTTACTACAGAAGTGTGCCCTTTCTGGTTTAGAGTATTTTGAAAGAATCGGATGGCTCTTTCCCCTGTTATGTCTATTTTGGGTTCCACTTTGGTTGTCAATGACGAGGAGAGTCGAGCCAGCCTTCAACGGGGCCACTGCAAGGACCCCATTTGAATTTGAGTTGGTTATCCTTGCCGAAAATATGTGCATAAACACTTGTGGTAATTGAATGGATTTGCCTTTGGGATTGTTGTCTTTTGTACTTACAGAGCTGTTCCAAGAAATCAAGGTCCATATTCGAGTCACTTCAGAAGCATCCTGTTTACGTGGCTACAGCATGTCTGGTGATCGGTCTGCAAAGAATTAGAGAAATGTGCCATGAGCTGCCGGTTTCGCGTCTTCAAAATTCAAATGCCATCTGTGGACTGGCATTTAAGAAATGTTGAAATTGGAATAAACAATTAGATTAACCTTATCAGGCATTTAATAAGTGGAACAGCCCAGTTTTTTTTGTTTTTTGTTACATTTCATTGTTCTGAAGAAATAAGGTTTCCTGTCAAGATCAAACATACAGTTCTTTATAATTCCGAGAAATTAAAAGTCTCTCATTAAAGTGGGTTTTTTTGTATTATATTTCATCCAGCGATAAGTGCTCTAAAAATAGTAAAGAATTCCGTCGAAAGTTCCCCTTTTAAATCTATATATTTGCTTAACACAGGAAGTTCAACGCTCAAAACTACCAAAATTTCAAGAAGGAGTGCACTGAAGGTTAGCATCTGGTGGCTCTAAAAAAGTGACGAATTTTTGGGAAGGTTTCTATATCCGAATGCTGCTTTGTGGAGTTAAATTGGTTTTGTAGTTTTGTTTAATTTTAAAACAAGTAGTATTTAAAATTATTCAAAAATTTGTTTTTCAAAATGGCTGCTACATCTTTTGAATATTGAATTGCTTAGTTTAGATCAGCGTCTTGAAGCAATTTTATTATTTTATATTCGATTTGTAAGAATCTATGCATCTTTATTTATAAAAGAAAAACACTTTTAAGGGAAGTACACTTTTCCTAAAGCTATTAATCTTTGTAAGTGGTGTAATCCTTATAAACGTGGCCTTAGGAACAAGGGAATTAAGAATTGCATAGTAGACGTTTCCGCTTAGCCGCATATAACGCACTATACACAAATCAAGTTATACGATTTTTCCCATATTCTTAGCTTCAAATTATGAGATTTTAAAAAAGTATTTAAAAATAAACTATTGATGAAAAAAAAGCTTCAAGGGAAAACTCTCCTCAAAGTCAAATATGTCTATAGTACCGCATGCAAATATGAGTTGCTTTGAACACAACATATTGGCATATATGTATATATAGATTAATATATGATATCTCTGATGTCTGGCGTCGGAGCAATGCAAAAAAATACACTCAAGTGGCGGATAAGTAAGTCGCGATTTCAACGGCAACTTTGCGTCGTCTGAGCTGCTTTATCCGCTTTTAAACGGGGGCCACAAAACGACACGATTTCATCCGATGTGCAGCAGCAACTAATTTGCATCGAAATCAACACGTGACACTTGCTCTGCAGTGAATAAAAATAACATAAATGACACATTGCGGAGTTATTTAGCAATGCAAATGAATATCGTGTGCCACAGCATGGAATTCCATCGCAGATAAGCCAAAATGTATGCTACGAAAGGTGTTTCGGCACACATGGCGTATACGCAATGTCAAGGGATCTGCGAAAAAGACCACTTTTGAGTGGAAAATACGTGGTTTTCGATTTTGTAATAGACTTTGGCCAGCCTTGGATCGATTTTAACTCTTCCCTTATGCGCTGCGAATACTCGCTGACGACTGAAAGTGGTTTCTGAAGCGAGACTTTGCCTCCGCTTTGTCATGTCTGTTTCGTCGCAATGATTTTGATTGAATTAACGCCTTGGCTTTCATATACATATGCATGTGTGTACTTCGCCTGGGGCTGTTTGCCCGTCGGATAAAGAACACTTCCTCCTATAATAATATAATGAAATGCTCAAGTGATTTGATTTAGTCCGGCGGCAGGGCAACTAAAAATAAACCCAACCAAAAAAAACCAGACTCACGATCGTGCCGCGAGTTTCACTTGAAGATGTCTGAGGAAAACAAAAACCTGTAGTTGTCCGCTGGCCATTGATTTGTTGTTCGCCGCTGTTTCTATTACGAAGTCGGAAGTTAATAATATTGGGCTTTTGCTTTTGCAGGGCGCTTGACTTCTTTTGTGGCTTTAACCTCATCCTTGAGGCTTTGACTTTTGGGGGGGGGGCTTTGGCTTTGCCTTTGGCATTCGCAAAATTGGCTGGCTCATCATGGCGGGCATCATTTAGCGTTTTATTAGCATTTCAATAAATCCACCGAGACCATACTGTACGACATCTCGCGCTCTCAAATCTCAAATGGCGTGCGGCGGTTTGAAAAAAAACACGATTGCACGTAAGCTACAATCAAATTGAGCCATAAATATGAATAAATTGTATTTTGTTTTTGTTGTGCCGCTGGCATGGGATTCACTCGGCCAACAAGTCAATTATGGCTAGTACACCAACTCAACTCTTGGGCCGAGCCGAAATCTGAACCCATGACTTTAATTTGTCCAGCGAGCCCAGTCAAAAATCCAGATGAGATTATCAAGATGTTTGGCAAAGGCGTCAATAATCAAGGGAATTAGCACCGACAGCCTAACTATATGGCCAAATAGCGGGGCAGTGATCGATCCCAAAAACATATATATTTCATCAGATCTAGACGGAAGTGCGTCACATAAAATATGACTCAAGGAGTGATAACATTTTTGCATTCGATTTCAAAAATGTACCGAGCTTCTCTTAGGATTCAATTTGAATTGCAAATTAAACGGATGTTAGAAAAGAAAGTCGAGGCGAGGCGAGTCTTGGCCAGGAATGGAATATTCCATTTGTTATTGATCGCATATTTAGCATCTTTTTCGAATTTCGGATTTCGGATTCCAGTTAAACGGATCCCACACCCCTCCCCCGCCCATTAGCGCTTAAATAAACTATGCTAAACAGCTTTCTGAGCTGAGCTGCGCTGAGGTGGCTTCTTCTTAGCCATCTAGATTGTTATTTATAAGTATCGCCGCGCGTTTTTGCCTAATGTTTTGTTTCTTTTCTGATTTTTTCTCGGCTTTTACATATTATTGCCGCTACAATTGGGATCAGGGGGCTTTAAAAGGGGGGATTGCCGTTTGCTGTTGCTCTTTCTGTATTTTTTTTCTGTTACTTTTGCTGGTGCTCGAAAACTTAACCAACCGGTTGACTTTTATGTCTTGGCCCGATGCTGTTGTTGTGAGCGTCTTTTTGGGCTATGGGACACGTTTTTGCTGTTTGCCGTTTGCTGGTTTGCCTTTATTTTGCTTGATCTTTTTTTATTTATTTTCATTTATTTTTTTTTTTGATTTTTTTGCGCTTGGCACAGGTTGAGACGAAGATCGAAGTAATCTTCGAGTTGTTTGGGGGCCCGAGAGCATAGCGATCGAACTAAAACCAATGAAATGAAGATGTGCACTTGGCGACGGCAGAAAAACAAAGCCGACGGAACAAACACAAAAAAATAAATAAATAATGCAGAAAAAAAACCCCTTGTTTTTGCCGCATTCTTCTGGCCGACAGAGAGTTGTTATTGTTGTGGCCGCTGAATGAAAGGTGAACTACGGCTATTTGATTTTCCAACGCTTTTGTTTTTTGCTGTGGGAGGCTGGGCGGGCGACGGGCCCATTGTTTTAGCCCGATTCTTCTTTATAGATTTGACAGAATTCGGGGTTACGTATACGCCGCACTGGCTGCTACCAACACACATTTGCACCACAGTGAAATCGTTTTTCACATGTTTAACTGGCTTTTAAACAGAATTTGCGTTATTTCCAGTTGTTCACTTCTAGTATAGCCATCAATTATTGTTTTAAGCATTTGATCACTCCGCGGGGGCTATTTTTCGTTAATAAAATCTTAGTTAAACTAAAGTCGGCTTTAAATTAGTTGCACACACACACACTCTCGCACAATGGTCACTTACACTTGCACAAATCGCCGTTACTTTGATTGTATACGAATTTGTTGCTTTATTGTGTCGTCTGTCGTTTTTTTTTTAGTTTGTATTTATTTAGTATTTCACGCTCCGTGTATAGTCGATGCAAAAGTGCTCCCAAGATCGCGGATCCCTCGATTCTCCCCGACTAACCGCGATTTTCTCACGGCAGAGCGACTATATCTATATCCAAGTCGGTTGGACTGCTAAGCTCAACTAACCGAGCGTCGTGTGCTCTGCAGCTCGGCTCGCTCCCCGTACCATTCCGCTCCGACTCTCTCCCGAAAAGCGGTGGAAAACCCGCTCTGGCCGATCAAGCGAGGCTTACGATCGGGGTTGCCACTGTGCCTGCAGATCGGTGCAACGGCACATTTAATGGATTAAAAAATATTGTTTAATTTATAACTCTGTTTTAAAATAATTCATATGAATTGTCTTAGACTAATCTTGCATTAAAACAGTAAGCGAAAGTTAGTAAATTAATTTCCTATTTATACAAAAATATGGAATTATTTTAGACTAACCAATATGCCACTACGCTTGCAGATCGATAAAGCGGTATTAAAATATTGCAAAGGGACTACAAAATTTAATAAAATGTAAATGTAAATGCAAAACAAGAAACTAATCTTTCTAATACGGATTAAAAAATTACACATATTAATGTCCAATTTATTATTTAGTATGAAAAGCAAATTACTACTATGTTTTTTTACAAAGGTATATTTAGCATAGTAATCGAAAACTAGTAAGATTTTGTGTTAATTTATATCTTAGTTTGTTAATTTAAGCTAATAATAAACAAATAAAATAAAGTCCTTAGTATACAAACAAATTATTATTTCTAACGAACTCATCTTTTTGGCATTGGAATAAAATAAAAATTAATAAAACATGTTGGAGCTTTATTTTAATTTTATTTTATCTAGAAAACACAAATTTTGATTTAGCTAAAATTTAAAAATTAATTTATTAAGCTAGAAGCTACTAAGCTATAAAGTAATTTTGACTTTTTCACATTAGCATCTTTTTTCATTGATATTAGTTATATTTTGTTATAGTTCTTGTAGCCAATTTAAATAATAAACAAAAAATAAAAAAAAAAAACAAAAAATGTAAAAATAAAACTATGGCTTAAAAGTATTGTTAAAGTGGTTTTGAAAAATCTTAGCCAAAAATGTTTTGTAGCATTCTTAGAATTGTAACAACTTGTTTATAAATCTGACTGTTAATTTTTTCTTCAAATAAGTACAAATAAATAAATTTAAAACCGTGAAAACATTCCAGATTTCGAAAGTGTGACGAACTAATGTTTTTCTTAAAAATTACACTGGCATACAAATTCAAATCAATCCTCCTTTTCTGGTGCAGTTGGACTCCCTTACACAAAAAATTATACTTAAAATTGTAATAAACGTTTTTCACCTGATTTCATGCCTGTTTAATTTTTATCTCTAGTTCTGATTAACTGATTTAATTCAGAATGATAGATATGGAGATAATGTAATATTAATAATCTGTAAAATTTAGTAGAGTACTGAAGAATTTTATTTTTTTTTATATTTTAAAAAACGGTTTGATACCCTGTAAACTTAGTATTCCTTGGAATCCACCACGGCTTGCAGCTTTTCGGGGGCCAAGTGGAGCGGCAACCCTGGTCAAACCGCTCTCGCGGCGAGAAATTGATAAATCGCAGCCAGCGTTTGTTAAGAAAAAATGTAAATTAAATTATAACTAGCGTCGCCAACAATGGGATTAAGTAAAACCCGGCCCCTGTGCTTAGTGCACCAGCTCTCACGCAATTAGCGTACCGCCTGAGCCCCTTGGCCCGCGATTCTCTGCGGGATCGGGCTGGTGCTGCCCGGTTTGTGCCCCTCCACCCGACCCCAAGTCGCCTCCTCCGGCGGGTGTCGCTGTAATGATATGTGCGCGGATCGGATCCCCCGAATGATCAGCGCTTCCAACTTAACGTCGCTTAATGGAGTTGTTGTTCTTGCTGGAAGGCCCATTTTAGGTGGCTTCGCAGATTGAATTAATCCACTGATTTATGTAAATTACACTAATTCGTATTACTCAATTGGTTATTCAATATTCATGGTCTGGCAGAGCAAGAACGGTTTTGTTTGCTCAAATGTTATTCTGCATATTGAATATTGGGCTTATACTGACTTCAAAGATGAGTCACATGACTGAGAAACATGACAACTAGCGTAACTAATGCCCATCCAAGCCAAAGAAACAAATACACTTCGCATTCTTTGTAACATATTGGGGATCCTATCAACACATCCTCTCTATATTTGTAATGTTTGTTTTTGAGCTAACAATTTGAAGCAACATAAGTACATTTAAACTTGAAACATTGGGGTTTTAGGCCACCTCATAGTCCTTCGATAGCTTATCCAGCACAGCCGGATTTTTGTTGGGCCAGTTCTTGATGGCACTGAAAATAGATTTAACCACTGAAAAGAAAGTTATGTTATACGTTTACTCATAAAGTAGATAGGCATATTGTTTCTAGTTCTTACCCTTTTTCTCCTCCGCTGACATGAACATGGCCAAAATGGTGAACTGATCATTTTTGCTGACCTCCTGAAGGACAGCAGCCGTGGTTGGCTCCTTATTTGGTACATAATATTCCTGAACGGTGCGCAACAGACCCGAAAATGTATCCGAATCGAAACCTGCTCCCAGGATCTTGCACAGATTCGACACATTAATGGATTTTAAATACTGGTACTTCTGAGGAGCACTAAGCTCCTTCCAGGTGACATGGAACTGCGCTGTACCCGTGGGCGCAGGCGGCACAGAGGGCTAAAAAAAATATTGGTTAGATACCAGTTTAGTTTTCGCTACAAGTGAACTCACATCCAACGGACTGGCTGGCATTTCGTTGTTCTTTAAATTTGGGTCGACCTTTTCAGTTTGAATTGAGTTGACTGTTGCTGCCTTGTCTTCTATGCTGGATTTTTCAGTTTTTTTTGTTGGGGAGACGGGACCCTGAACTTTGGGCACCTCGACTGCCACTTTAATGGGTGAACTTGTTACACTTTGCTTCTCGACTTCTGCCTTATTTTTTGTATCCTTGGACACCGCCTCGACTGGATCCTCTTTGGGTGAACTCTGTTTGGTTTCGTTCTCGACTTCTGCCTTATTTTTTGCATCCTTCTTAATTTCCTGGAATACCGCCTCGACTGGATCTGGTTTGGGTGAAGTCTGTTTGGAATCCTTCTTTGCTTCTTTGGGGGCCTCAACAATTGACTGAGCTTTGGGTGGACTGGGCTTTACTTGATCCTGCTTTGCATCCGCCTTCTTGACCTCCTCGAATGCGCCACAACTGCTATTGAAAATCTTGTCTATGTCCTCATCTGAGATGCGTAGTTTGTTGGTGTCATCGCTGCTTCCACGAGGAGATACCACATCCACAATGGGCACACGGCGCATAGCCTTTTTGGAGCGCTTATAAACTGGCTTCTCAAAGGGCAAGATGTCAATCAAGCCAGGACGATCGGGATTAAAGTTTGGTCCGCTTTTGGTGGCTAAAGGAATAATAAGGAATATAAGTAAGTATTTGGAAAGTTGTTTGTTAATTAACTTGTATTTTTAGTATTTGTAAATTTGTTTGTTAATTAACTAACATAAGCCATAGTTCTTTAATAAAAGTGATTAAATTAATGTTTTGTTAAAGTTACCAGGCTACCTATACGTAGTAATAATTATAATAGTTATTATTAGTAAAATAATTATTTTAACACAATAATAAGAATAAACCAATCATTCTTAATCAGATTTGTTCTTTAAAACCAAGCAGTAACAACAGTAAGTGAGCATTACTTTAACTATGCTCACCGTGCTTGCGCAGACGTTCGTTGATCCTGGCCAGGCTCGTTTTGGCTTCGATGTTCTTGGGCTCGATGGCCAGCACCGTGGTGCAATCCTTCAGGGCTTCCATATTGTTGCCCAAGGACTCGTTGGCCTGCATTCGCCGGTAGTAGGCCTTCACGCAGAGCTTATCCAGCGCAATGGCGGCCTCACAGTCCTCCACGCACATTTCGAAACTACAAGGACATGTGGGCTAAGTTAAGAAGGTTCTAGAATGTTCTAGGGTGGACCTACCGCTCCTGCTTGATGTAGCACAGGGCCCTGTTTATATAGTAAATAGGATCGTGGGGATAGGCGCCAATGGCCGCCGAGTAGGCTACAATGGCCTTGTCGTACTCCGCCTGCTTGACATAGGTATTGCCGCGATCCTTGATGTCGTTGGCCTTCTTGTGCTGCCTGGCCACAGGATCCAGGGGCAGATCCTGCTTCTCCGTGGGCGTGCTGGCCGCCGAGCTGCTGGGGCTCTCCTTCTCCGACTTCCCGTGACTGCGCACTGGCAGGTTCTGCAAGCAAAGGATTGTATTTCCCGAAATAATCAGGCCATTTCAAGCTCACCTTATTGGCGGCAGACGCCGGCGCCTTTTGCAGCTCCTTCTCCTTGCTCTTGATGTCCCGCTCCCAGGAGTACAGGTCCTTTACGGAGTTCTCGTAGTCCTTGGCATTCTGGCGCACCTGGCGCTGCAATTCGAAGGCCTTTTCTGCACCGCTCATGTTGCTTTCTTTGTCAATTAGTAATCAAAAAATATTGAATGCAATTTTTGTTATTTCTGTTGCTAGCGCTCACTAAAACGGTCTGGCAGCACTGCCTGGCTATCGATAGTTGCTGTTTCATTGGCCAGGGCTGCAAACTTGTTTTGGCTTGCTAACGGCGTTGCCAGGTCAAAAAGCCCTGGAAACAGCTGTTTTGTGTTTTTATATAGTTTGGAAATTTATAGCTCAAAATTATGGTTACTGACACAGATAAACCAAATTAATATTTACCTATATAACAATGCTGAGGCTGTACTTTTCGACCCGTTCAGGAGGTGGCTCCTATAGGCGTAAGTAAGGACTCGCGCTGGTTGCACTGTTGTTATGTAAAGTAAATATTTGCTCACTGCGCAGTTTTTCCCACGAAAAGCCCAAAAAACCGGAAACGCACTATGAAGTTTTGAATATACGCCACGATTGCAGCACCCAGGATGTCCGCAATGCCTTTGTCCAGCTCTCCAAATTGGTGGGTAACTTTCAGATTACTCGAAAACCTGTTTAATTAGGATATTCCTTTAGTATTATCCAGATGTCAAGAGCAATGCTGTGTGTCCCGAGAGAACAGCTCGATTTGTTCAGATTTCCGAGGCTTATAAGACCCTGATAAAACCGCAAAAGCGGCGGGATTACGACGACAGCCTGCTGTGGCAGCCAACCCGCTCGGATCGCAGTCCTGTGGGCGAAACCGTCAATCCCGGCCAACCGTGGGATGTGAAGCCCAACTATGATCCCAATCCAGGACCCTACTATGGCATCCGGGGTCTCAAGAGGGTCTCCAACTGGCAGGTGGCCCTGGTTTTAATGACCCTCGGAATTTTCGGAGCACTCTTTGGCTTCACCTCTGTTAGGTGAGTGTTTTACTTAAGGGGTTATCCCCATTTGCAGGGCCATCAAATTGGCTAGTTTCGGAATTTTTGTATTAAAAATATTGTGTAACTATGTATGTGATAAGTACATTTTCTTTTTTTCTGTTTTTTTTTGTTGTGGTGACCAATATTCTAAATCATTCTATACTCATAAATTTTATTTACATTTTCTTTATATTAAAATACATTCGAATCTTTACATAGTATCATCACTTAAAAACAAATTTTAATTAAAATAACTTAATTGAATTTTCACCTATGGCAAACATTTACAGGCACTCCTTTCACCTGAGTCGCCAGCTCCAGGACGAGATCTCCGCCGAGGCCAATTCCCACCATGCAGCCGTTGTGGCCGATGCCCAGAAATACGGCAACGAGGAGCAAGTGCGTCGCATGGTGGACCGCATGTCCCGGAGTCCCTTCAACCAGACGTCGGCTAAGTAGTCGGTCGACTTGCTTGATTGTTTTCGGCCAAATTAAACGTGAAAGCAGATAGATATTTTAAATACTTTTAGTTTTGGTTCAAGGCAAAGCAAAGCAAACGAGTTAGTGTTTTTGGCCAAAATGAAACAGTTTCGTTGGCCTTCGCAGGCGATTTGCAAACTGTGCAAACAAACAGGGAGCGACTACTTAAGCACTCCGGTGGCATCCATATGCTGTACATTGCCAGCGATCGTACTACCAACATGAAGTCAATTATTCGGATCGGCGGCCTCTGTCTCGTGGTCTTCGTCCTCAGCAACCTGGATGTTTTGAGGGCGCAGTATACTCCTTCCTCCTCCTCTCCGAGTACTTCTAGCCAAGGTAACCCCAAGCAGGTGTACGTATCGAATCTCACGTATACGGTTTCGAGGAAGATCCGTGTGGGCTCCACAACGGTCAGCAGCACCAGAAGCCGGAGTTCCAGGACCAATAGCAACCGGAAACTGAACGCCAAGAGGAGCCAGGCCAAACGCAGCCAGAGGGCGAACCGGAAGTCCGACAACCGGAAGTCGAACGCCCGCCGGGTCAGGGGTTAAACTCTCATCCAAGGCATTGTTTTTGTTTTAAGACAATTGGTTTTTATTTTGAGCTCGTTCTAAACACAAAACACTTAAGTTTACCGTCGCAACGGGCGAATTAAATTAGATAAATACGTAACTTGTACTGTTTGTTTATGCTACTCTGAATCGAAAGTGGAGACACTTGACATGGAACTAACCGGGAACCCGCCACCGAACTACAAACTAAAGAATCACATAGTACACATACAAAATCCAAATGCAGATCATCTACAGCTTTGTCTGAGCCGCCTTCGCGGTGGTCACCTCCTTGGCCATCACCTGGATGCCGACATGTGGAGCCGCCGGCTTGAAGATCACCTCCCCGTGGGGTTTATAATCGGCGAACTGCAGGCTGAACACCTCGTGGAAGCCCAGCTTCTCCATCACCCGGGCAGAATAGTGGCTGGAGCAGAGCACATGGTACACATTGATCCCGTTCTCCCTCATGTACTCGTATGCCCGCTCCGTCAGGCGACCGGCGATGCCCAGGCCGCGATAGTTGGTGTCCACCGACAGGATCTTGCCGTCCAAAATCAACTCCTCGTCGGGATAAATGTCGAAGATGTTGAACTTCTCCTCCACATGGTCCATCAGCGATAGGATCTTCTTGAATTTGGGATGATCGCAAGAATCGGCCGCCTTTTCGGGCACATCATCGGGGGACTGTTGGTAAATCAAAACAAAATTAGTCAGGAATATGTATGTATTACATTACATTACACTTGTCATTTGACTATTTCCAGAATTGACTTTGATAAAGCATACATCATATAGTCAGCAATAGGTATCATTACATTACATCATTGGAATAAATCCAAGTATTTCCTACTCAGTTTGCCTTTGATGTTTAACTATTGCGGTTTTTAGTCATTTTAAATAAATAAATTAATAAATCATAAATCATACATAACTAGTCAGGAATACGTATGTTATTTTATTACACTGGTGAAAAAACGTATTAAGTCCAAGTATTTCCTACGATTTTAAGTTATTTTAAATATATAAAAATATAACATTTGTCATTTGACTATTTTCGGAATTCATTTAAATATACTAAAATTTAATTTAAAAATTAACCAAATTAAATTTAAATACATTTTAAATGTACTACTATTCACATTCATTTAAATATTAACACATTAAATCACGGAATGCATTGCATTTTGAATTTAAATATGAAATATAACAATTTGGAGTCAATTAGCTGATACATTTTTTTTTACCACTCCATATTGTTTTATCAGTGTATAACTTTACTTACCGGACGTCTCATTAGTCCATTAAGGAACAGGCCTATAATTTCGCCCTTCTTGTTGACCGCCTTGTAGGAGCAGTTGTCGGTAAGTGGCTTCAGGGAATACTTCTCCAGCTCCTTGCACTCGCCAAGATCAAGAAACGTATTCAGGGGCTCATCCTGGGAAATGTTTTATAAAATTGTTAGATCAGCATTCTAGATTTCCAACCATTAAGCCACCAAATTGCTGATCAATCTGAAGATCTCTCAACTCAACAAATTACCAGCGCAATTGCGCGACACGATCGTGGAATTGATCAGCAATTCAAATGATTAATGCATGCGTGTGCTGAGGCGAGATTTTCTAATAATTTATGGAGACAGTTTGTGGATTGCGAACGGAACTCGATTTGCATATTGCCATTATAGCCGGAGGGAGGCGTTGGCCATTGAGGCGTGTCATGCATACAAATTCGCACATACTTTTTTTTACATTTAAATATAGGTTTTGATTATCCAATGGATGTTTGGTCTTTGGAGGGGGTGCCTTCTCATTGGCCGGCTTTGGACTAGAACCTGATCAAGGCAAGATCAAACGAGCATATATAATGGTTTCATTGGATCGTCAAGAGTCGTGATGCAAGACCAGCTGAAAATTAGCGTTAGCCGTGACATGGATCATGTCAAAAGACCTCACGACAGCCGAATACTTTGCTCCGAATTTCGAATTCCGAATTGCGAATAACAATTCCCGGGGATGGGGATTGTGATTGTGATTGGGAGAGTGAATTCCCCGCGATTAGTCAACGCATAACTTAATTAATTCAACTTTTAGTGTGCGAATTTCGAACTGAATTAAAGCCCAATTAAGCCGATCGCCGTGCTAATTGCAATTCGTTGGAACATTATTCAAATTCACCTTTGTGCTGCCTTTCGAATCCAGTTATTTGGCAGACATAATGGAAGATATAAATTCAGAACTCCCTAATCGCAAAGCCAGGTGTTCGTTCGGCTTGATTGGCTTTGGATTTTGTGATATGCAAACGAATCTAAAATTCCCCAGCGATTACAATACAATGAAGGCGATGGTGTATGGTGTATGTGGGTAATGTAGGAAATTAGAATCTTACTCACCTTAAAGAAAAAGGTCTTGAGCATGGCTATGACCGCCTCCCCATCCTCGGGTGTGATCAGTTCGATGGTATAGGGGCAGTCCTTATCGATGGGCTGCGTTGAGGCTTTTCCCGAAACACTTAAAGCGTCCTCCATTTTCTGTGTCAGCCGGGAAATCGGATATAAGTCGTTCAGCTGCAAATGCCCCGGCAGACAAAACAAATCGTTCAGTTATTATTATTATTATTATTGTGGCTGGGGCTGGGCATGAGTTTGAGGTGGAGGAAAGACGAGCGGCAGGCATATAGAAAACATTATTATTTATGGCTCTTAGATGAAAGGCGTTTTAATTTGTTTTGTATATTTTGTAGCACATGTAGCGACGCGACGCCATCCCCGTGCATTTTCATTTTCACTTCCAATTTCCACCGACTATTTATTTTTTTGAAATTTTGTATTTTGTTTTCATGTACGCCACCGACAGGAGCCATAAATTATACAACTGAAATTAAGGTCGCCGTCGTAGTGTACTCTAAAAACATTTAGCATTTGACTATCTGAACAGGAGGATTTTGTCATCATATTGTCGTGAGATGGGATTATCTTTTACTGCTTAATATAAACACTTTAATGACCTTAATATAGTTTGTTTATTATGTTATAATTGTCATAAATATTATTCATATGTATTAAAACATATTTAACAATAGATATTGTCTAAAGAGTATGGAACTTTTAATGAAATAAGTTTTAAGACTTGTTTATACAGCTGTTTTGGTAAAAATTTGGAAACTTAAACTAATATTTGCTTAAGTTTTAGGTCTCAAATCAATCTTAAATGGAATATTTTTATTTATGAGTTTTTGTAATATGTGCATAACTGCATAATTTCTTCCCAAGTGTTTATTTCTCCATTTTGCTTTGAGGATCATTAAAATCACGTTTCATGAACTTATGCCCCATAAATGCCAAGCACACTCGCAGACGGACCATAAAATCCATCCAGAAAATATTTGGAAAATTCGCACATGCCAAATTACAAAACAAGCTGCTTTGGCCTTTGAATTTTGTTTACTTCCACTTCTGACTTCAGGCGCGACCTCCTCTATTATCTATTATTGGATGCCCCACTGGTATTTATAGAGCTTTTCACTGCCACCCAAGGTGTGGGTGGTGGTTGGTCATTGGCGGTGGGTCAGGGTGTTTGGAGAGCTAAGATCGGTGATCTATAGCCACACTTACCCCACATCTGGAATCGAGCATTATGCTGGATATCAGCGACTGATCTGGCAATTTTTGCACTTCCATTTTAGCTTTAATGCTTTCTTTTGTTCTACGTTCTACGGCAAACAAATGTTTTTGGGGCCGAAGAAAAGGGGGTGGAGAATTGGGGATTGAGGAAAATTTATGGCAAATTTTTCCCTTCTTTCGGTTTTTTGTTGGCGCGCACGTTTTGCGATGTTTTGTTTATTTCGCAGCCGACGAATCTTTGTTTGTATTTGACGCTGTTTGGCTTTTAATTTGACTTTGCTTTGATAAACAGTAGAGTACACAGGCACACACACAATCCGCGAGCCTAAAACTCAGACGCGGCACAAGATTAATGATGAATGAATGCGATTTATGACCCGAGATCCTTTGGTCCTTCGCTTTGGGGTTGGGGGAAGTGGATTTGCCTGCGAGCAAACAATGAATGGCCAGACATCGGCCCCGTTTGCACTTTATATAGCCAGCGGATCGTGGCGAGAGAACACTCATATGTATATATACATATATATACGGATTCGATCTTAGCACCGAGCCTCGCACCGCCGGCTGTTTATTCGCGACTGAGAGAAGCGAAAAGCGCTGGATAAAGCTGAAGCCAACCGCCGGCGGTCGTTCGATCGCTTGGCTATATGGGTTATATGGCCATATCGCATCGTCTATTTGCTCAAATACTCGTATGCTCACATATCTCTGTCACAGAGAGGAAACGTGACTGCGACCGGTTGCCACTCTCTTTCGAGACCGATCGAGTTTACAGCCGTTTCCTGGACTTTCCTAGATGGGTCTTTCCCTTTCGCCACTTCCGCTGAGCTATATGCTTATAGCGCTGCGCTCTGCGGTCTGCGGTCACTGCTTCTTGACATTTTCCTCTTGCCGAATTAAACAAAAAAAAATATCAAAAAATATAAAAATAAAAAGCCACAAGCAAACAGGTTCGAAATTAGTGCACTGCTGTTGAGAGGCTTCAGATGTGCTAACTATCAAGGTCAGTTTGCCAGGGGACCAGTTGAAGGAGGAGCTCTCTTTTAACCCAGTTGTTCAACAGGAAGATCGTTATGAAAAGATAGCACGTACAATATTTACTTTCTCTAAGCAAACTGGATTTCTATATGAATTTTAATTAAGTTGTTGTAACTAGAAGCATGAGTTGGGAAATATATAAATTGTAATTCCTTTGAATATTGGTACATTAGTTCTTTTTGGATAAGATCCATGTGAGAAATCACTTTTACAATTTCCCAAACTTGGATGTTAATGTGTAAGTTTAAATGTATTTACAGATTTTCTTATGAAATTCCAAAGGTTTTATGACTCAATAAATAATAAAATTTTAATTTATAAATACAACCGCATATTTTAAGCTATTCAATGCTGTTCAATTTAAAGCCCTTTTTAAACAGTGATTTTACGTTTAATTACATTTCAAAAAAATTCTATAAAGTAACTGAAAAACTGCTGGAATTAAATGTGTGACTTGCTTATGAAATGGAATTATAAAACTATCAAATTAAAAGCGAATAAATTCATATAAGTCCCATTAGTCCCATTAATACCCCAATTAAAGCATTTACAAATTAAAATATGAAAAATATATGTCAAGATGCACACCCTCCTCTGCCACTTTCTCATTAAGGCCCACAGGGCGTATGAGTACTGCTACAACTTGGAATGTTTTGAATAGTACTGAGTAAACATACCAAAGGGGCACACCTCCTAAAAACTTAAGGCAATTAAAACCCACACGGCGTATGCGTACTATTCCGTCCGTGAATGATTTTCCCGCCGCAGTCCGGCCGAGAATCCCGTTCTGTTTTTGTTTACTTTACGCTCGCAGCTGTCGCATATATTTTTTTTTTTTTGGCCGTGCAAACGGGCAAAAACGGAGCGCACGCCGCTAGCTCAATTAATATGCGACAAAAGAAAGAAACACAAAAGCTATCGAGCTATGGCTGTGGCTATAGCCATTGTGGAGGTCTCTCACACTTTTACGTTTCAAAATCGGGGGATCCATCGGATCGGCGGGGCATATTTACATTCTTCGCGGTCTCAATCGGTTTGTTTAATTTGGCGCGCGCTCTCGATCGCCCATAATTATCATCTCTCCGATTCTTCCACATTATTATCACAGTATTATTCCGACTATTAACTCCCTTGATTGCCTAAAAAAATTCCCACAGATTTTAACATATTTTGTTTATGGATTGTGGCTTTGTGGCCCGCAATTAGCAGCCAAAAAATAAAATGCAAATTGTCACCAAAACTGTTTATCATGCACAATCGTAGGAAACTTTTCATGGATAATTTTGTTTACATTATTTTGGCTTATTATTTTAGTCAGCGGTTCACTCTGTCTGGTTTTTTTGTGGCTTTCTGCTCGGGAAACTCGTTTTCGGTCAGCTGATCTGGCCCACTCAACTGTGGAGTACTAAATTTATCTCAAAAGGTACAACAAAGTCGCGCCCCTTTTTAAAAGATTTCCTTTCTTTTCACGGGATGGGATGACTCAATTTTTGTCGTTTGGGTGCAGGTGCAATTTTTCGGTTTTATTTATAATTGCAACCACATTTGCGGCTGTATCCGGTGAGTGACTAAAACTTTATACGTCTCTTAATTAAGGAACAAGTGTTTATTTTTGATTTAATAGGTCCGCTTGCACTTCTGTATTTAAAATATTGATTCCCTCTTGCAGTTTCCATTTGGCGCCGTCATGCTCCTAATGATCCTCAATAAATAACTTGAACGTCGTCTAAAGTACGAGTTTATTTAGCTGCCAAAATTGTCGAACGGTGGCTGAAACCAGTTTGCAACTTGTGTGGGGTCTGTGGCATTATGCACACCGATATCGAACTAATTGACAGTTACAAATGTTTTACGACATCATAACTTACTTATACGCATAAGTTAAATAGTTGGTCGACCCCCCGTAATTATTCAGTCAACAGTAAAGAAATAAATTAAAGTTTAAGCCAATAAAAAGTACATTGTGTATTTAATTTGTACGTTGTTCAGTTTTAATTTCTTAACAGAAATGACAGCAATAAATCTGTTCTATAGAAAGTCATTTGTTTACCATTTTTGTTTGTGAAAAATTCTCAGGTTTGATTTGAATTTATTCGGCAATATGTGGGATTTAATTATTTTTTCGGTAAACTAAATGCTAATTTAAGGGGTAAAAAGAGTCATACTTTTATTTATTATTTTAGTATTTATTTATTAATATTTTACCTTTCTTGGACCCACTGTCATCCTGCATAAATGATTAGGAATTCAAGCGCGATTAACGAAATGACAACAATAAAATTGTTTTATAGAAAGTCATTTGTTTAGAATGTTTCTGGTGAGAAATTCTCAGGTTTGATTTGAACTTGTTCTGCAGTATATGGGATTTAATGAGTTTTAAGGTTTTTTTCAAATAAAAGGCTACGTTTTCATTTCTCTCTATTTTAGTGTCCACTGTAAACCTGCAAGAGTGATATGATATTCTAGCGCGATTAACGACTTCAAAGTGCTCAAAGTGAGCGCCGTCATCGCCTCGTTGCGATTTTGTTTGCATTTGGACAATTAAAATCACATTAACGCCGTTTAAGTGAGCATTGAGATGGCTGGCAATTTGTAAATACAATCAAAATGATTGAACGTTTTGCCAAACGCTCGAAAGCAATGAAATGCTTTGATTTTATCTCTTGGCTTATCTTCAGCGAAAAACTTATTTACCTGTCTTGTCTTATTAACTGATCCAAAGTTAATTATTGTTAACTTTCCACAAGAACTATATTTAACTTGAAGTAGATCAAACGTTTAGTTTAAACTCGTTCAGACCAAGGCCGCATGCCATTTTACATCAGGTGTCAGCACTTGGGTCATTTATCAATATTAATTGATTAGTAAAGCATGTATTTCACAATTATTTAAGGAACACGTCAAAGCGATTAAGATTTCATATCATAGAGTGGGCGTCCTCCTATTAATTTAAATGCTAACTAAGCAACGAATACAGGTAGATTTTTCAAAGTCTACTGGTGTTTAATACCGTGCAACTTTACAAGCTGCAATTATATAGATTCTATTAAATTAATATTAATTTATTATCTTCCTGATCTCTTTAAAACATTTAATTGCGATCTAAATTGAACATGCATTTTATCATCGTTAGAAGGTAAAGCTTAAATCGAAATATGATTTAAGGAATCGCTTAGAAATAAAGGTTTAAAATATGATTTCACATGTAATCAGACGTACAATTACAAAAGGGCTTTAATAAAATCTAGTTAGCTGTTTACTGTATAACCTCCTTTTAAATATTATATGTTATGTGTAGTCTATCAAAAGTTTCTATAGCAAATACGAGTATACATCTTTTAAATGCAAATTATCCTGTCAAACCAAAGGTAAACTTCTTGGAAATATGATTTTAATTAATTTAATAATTGTTGAGTATAGATTGTTTTAGTTTAGATATGTTGTAAGACTTACACGTGTAAGAACCAATTAGAATATGCAAATATTTCTAGTAATTCATAATAGTATTTTTCACCCCCTGGACTGAACTGTGTGACGTACAATTAGTGACTGCTGTCATATAAATAACGACTTTTCATTTGCATTCGCCATAAATCATTGGGATCGTTGCACGTTATGCTGGCTTTGTAATCGGTACAAAACCGTTTGGAATAGTTCGGGTGTTTGAGCCATAAACTTGGCAGGTCTGTCACCAGCTTTTCCGACAGTCGCCACAAGCCGGAATTGATTTCCTACGGCGACGCCTTAATCGAATGGCCCACGGCCAAAACCCAAAGTGTGGACGGTGAACGGTGGACGGTGGAGTGTGGAGCTGGGCAATTTCGTGACTGGAAATCGAAAGCCCACATCCGATATGCAAGTGCAGCTGGAGGGGTTCGAGACATGACATTGAAACTTTGATTCAGCCTTAGAACTTCTAGTCTAAAGCCGCTGAAGTCGCTAAAGCCGCCTAATCGAATTAGCCAAACCACCACCCTCCACTTGGATAGTAACCAGCTCCGGTTGTCTGTCTGTCCGGATTCGGGTTCGTGGGTGGTGCCAGTTGGTTAAAAGTTTTATAAACCTTCGCTGGTACAAAGGGGCATGCTCGCCTCGGACTTGAAATACTCAACAAAACAGTACAAATGGGTTGTATATCGTCTCATTATGGGGAAGACTTGTTCAAATCTTATTATGCTTAATAAATATCATAAAACACACAAGATTGGCTATTAAACATATGTATATAGCATATGAACAAATTATTTCCACACATGATTAAAGTATTATTACTAAGACTTGAATTTAATTAAACATTTATATTGTCTTGTTCATATACTATTCCTATTTTTGTATATTATATAATATTGTAAATAAATAAATTTTTACTTGTGTGCTATTTGTTTTGTTATATGATATCGTTCTCCGTTTTGAATAAAATTTAAAGCATTATTGGTTTGTTTTTATTATGTCATAAAACTTAGAAACAATAA